ATTAAAATAATTAATAATTATTAATGGAATGAGCTCAAACCTTACCTTCCTAGTTTAACCAATATTCTAGACACTTTCGATGCAAATTCAGCTGCCTGACGGACGGAATCCTCAATCTGAAGAAAATATTCAACATGTGTATATGATTACTAAGCATTGGAGTGAAAGGTGAGTAACCCACCATTATAACTTCTAGGGCATGTTGGTAGAACCTTAATGCCATGTCAGGATGCTTGGATTCTGTTAATTTTGCGGCTTTATCCAAGGCGGAAGCAGCTGCTTCCGGAGATCCATGCTGTTGATACAAACTTGCAGCCTTGTTGGCGTATTCCTCAACCTCGTGTAGTTTATCAGCATCCTTAGACAACAAAATAATCTAAAAGATACAATACATGTTTGTTAATTAAAGATAGCTATTATCTTTTATTTACTTACTTGCTCGTATGCTTTTGCAGCATGGAACCACGACTTGTTGTTTTTGTAACAGTCAATAGACTTTAAAAAACAATCCTTACTCTTATCGTAACTTTTGGCTATTCGATAGGCAGTAGCTGAAAATAATAACAGATATTATTAAGTTAAAATAGATACAAAATAACAATACATTTTTAAAATAATATTTATGTTATGTATGTTTGTTTTACAATTTTTTAATACTTATATTTATGTATAATATACACCAACCACGTATACACAAAATACAACTGGCAATTTAATAAGAAACTTTAAGTGAAAAATGGGATTTATTTATTTACAATAATATAAGTTATGGTTTTTTATTATACACAGATATTTAGTGAATATTAGTCACACCAACTTTTAAGTACTCACCAGCTTTGGAATACTCATCAGCAGCACTATCGTAATCAGGTACCCATTTCAACATTGACAATTTCAAGCTGTAAAGATATTTTGGCTGTATTTGTAGCTATTCTTATTGCGATAATATAATGAATGGTACCTCTTCTCGGCCTGCTTCACCAAGTTCTCCGCTTCGGCAATCTTTTTAGCAGCAACTCCAGACATTTTCGCTAACTTTTGTTTTGTAGGAAAAATCAATTGTTTACATTCAAAAATAGTGTGACCGACAGCGACAAGTGAAATAACAACAATGTTTCTGAAAACACGGTGGGCTTAGAACTTAACAGGTGACGAACTACGCATGTCTGAAAAACATAGCTTAAAAACGCTGAAAATAAAAAAAAAATGTATTATCAAAATGGTGTTAAAGTAAAATAGTAAATAATTGTTACTATTAATTTATATAGCAGACGGTTGAATAGAAAAAAATTTAAATGTGGCTCAAAAATGTATAAAAACTTTTACATTGCTCCATTTCTTTATGTGTATGTCATACCTGTTCCGTTTTGATTTGCAAACTCAATAAAAAGTGCATTAGGTAAGAATTCGATATTTTTGTTTATTTTAATCGTGAATAAGTGAACGTTAAAGACCTTAAGGTTTTGAAACAGATTCTTATTTAGTTATAATTTAAACAAAAATCCAAATCTGCATATGTATTTTTTTGCTTACCGCGAATGTCTAATATCAATTTGCCACCCTTTTTCGTTCTTTATTTTGCAGATTTTAAAATGTCCCACAAATCTTGCGTGGAACTGAGCGAAATCCGAAAATTGGATAAAATAGTGCAGCAATGCGAGCTGTACATGTCCAACAATAACATTAACGATACCGCTAAAAAGCCGCCTGTAAAGGAATTTAAACGCAATTGCCTTGCAAAATCCAATAAATTTGTGGAGAGGGAACTCTTTTCGCTTATGTGCAACCTAAATAAGATTGAAAAGAAGCAGGTTTTTGTTTCAGATATCCTGATAAACGCCAGTATGTTCGACGACAAGAAGGAGAGTCTGTCGAGATTTCCGAAAAATGTTCCAGACCATAGCACTCTGGTCTATCACAAATTCCTGCGGACTAGACCTACTAGTGATGACGAAACACTTGAGCTAAAAACCAGGTCAAGAACTAAGGAGAAACATGGCTCGAAGTTCACAGGAGATTGCTTCTTTTCGCCTGTACTATTCAAAATCAACAATAAAAGGGAATGCTTAAAGAAAATAAAAGTCATCAAGGGAGAGAATCAATTCGAACAGAATAATATCTCAAACGAACTTAAAACTAGCCAACCCAAAAAGCACTCTAGCATCAAAATGTCCAAAAAATGCATCAAATGTGATAAAAAGAAGTTATACATTAAAAACTATCAGACAATGGCTAGGCGGCCAGAGTGTGATTTGCTTTGCTCGTATGACCCAGCGCGTAAAAATAACAACGATGTTTTCCAAACCCATAAGGGTAATTCCTACGAATGCATGTTTAAGAACCCAAAATACAATCAAACTGATAAAACTAGCGACAATTTGTTGGGTAGTTCATACGACGATATGTTGGACAAAGAAGCTCTTCTCGGATCGAAGAGTGAACCGAAGATGCAAGATCCCAACGATATGGTATGACTTAATCTTATCAACATCTAAGTTCATTGAATTAATTATATAATTTTTTATTAACAGATTATTTCTCTGGGGGGAAACATAATGCTTGATCAAAAGTTACAGAACAACTACTATCACAAATGGACTCTATTACACTATTCGCCGTTCAAAGCTGTTTGGGACTGGGTGATATTAATCCTAGTGATGTATACGGCGATTTTTACTCCATATGTGGCGGCGTTTTTGCTTGGCGAACAGGATTACCAAAGAAGAAACAATAAGTACATAAACTCTGACCCAATTGTTATCATCGATTTGATTGGTAAGTATAGTAAAATAAAAAATTCTTCCAACTTACCTATATAACTGACATTTTTAGTGGATGTAACCTTCATTGTGGATATTATAATAAACTTTCGAACTACTTTTGTCAACGCACAGGATGAAGTGGTATGGTTAATAGCAAACAATTTGGAAAACAAATTTAATAACCCTTACTATATAATAGGTATCTCATCCAGGACGAATAGCAGTTCACTATTTAAGCGGTTGGTTTTTAATTGATCTTGTGGCAGCGGTGCCATTCGATTTGCTTTTAGTTGGCAGTGATACCGATGAGGTGAGCACATACATTTTAATCAGTAAATTATTATAGTTAATAATGCGTTTTTCCAGACGACTACTTTAATAGGACTTTTGAAAACAGCGCGACTCTTAAGGCTGGTTCGTGTGGCCAGAAAAATAGATCGTTATTCGGAGTATGGAGCTGCAGTTCTTATTTTATTGATGGCTACCTTTATTTTGATTGCCCATTGGTTGGCTTGCATATGGTAAATAATAAGCATATATTAATCAGTTTTTAAAACTGTTAAACTATATTTAAGGTATGCGATTGGAAATGCCGAAAAGTCTATAGCGGCGAAAAACATCGGTTGGCTCAATTCGTTGGCCTATGATATTCAAGAGCCCTATTTCGACAACCGAACTGGTGGGCCCTCTATAAAGGTATTCCTCTTTATTTTACCACACAAAACACGGATGATTCTGCAATCTCTCTTTTTGTAGTCACGCTATATCACAGCTTTATATTTTACATTTACGTCGCTCACATCCGTCGGCTTTGGAAATGTGGCACCGAATACCGATGCTGAAAAAGCGTTTACTATTTGCGTAATGCTCGTTGGATGTAGGCGAACTATGCACTTACTTAAAATAAATGTTTACCTTGAGATATTTTTAACTTCTCTTTTAAGCTCTTATGTATGCAAGCATTTTTGGAAATGTTTCTGCGATCATACAAAGACTTTACTCGGGAACTGCAAGATATCATACTCAAATGTTACGCGTTCGGGAGTTCATTCGATTCCACCAGGTATCAAGAATACTACCAAACGCTGTAAACATTATGCACTTTAGCTTCTAACCTTTCTACAGATACCAAATCCACTCAGGCAAAGACTGGAGGAATATTTTCAACATGCTTGGACCTGTAATATTATTAATTATACTCTTAATCTTCCTCTTTTTTATTTATGCTTTATGTATTAAATTTTAAGATACGAACGGAATCGATATGAATTCCTTGCTAAAAGGTTTTCCCGAGTGCCTTCAAGCAGACATTTGCCTGCATTTGAACAGAAAGTTATTGACAACTTGCGCAGCCTTTTCGGAGGCCAGTCCGGGCTGCCTAAGGTAAATTTGAAAATACTTATTTATGTGCAACTTAGTAAAAGTAATTCATTATTTGCAGAGCTTTCTCCCTTAAATTTAAAACTACCCATGCGCCACCTGGTGATATATTGGTCCATAAAGGAGATGTCCTCACCTCCTTGTTTTTTATAGCCAGGGGATCCATAGAAATTCAAAAAGCAAACAATATGATTATCGTCCTGGGTGAGTTAGTTTTATCTATCTATTTATTTATATCAACTATCCAAATAAAATGTGGTTCTCATTTTAGGCAAGAACGATATATTCGGCGAAAATCCCTGCATATATCCAACGCTTGGCAAATCGAACGGTGTGGTTAGAGCTTTGACCTATTGCGATATCCATAAGTTGCATAGAGATGACTTGCTGGACGTTCTGGATGCTTATCCAGAGTTTCTCGAGAGCTTCGTCAACAACTTGGTTATCACCTACAATATGCGAGATGTGAGTGACTTTATGGACTTATACATCTATTGGTCTGAGAATGCTTTCATTTTGCAGGATGACCATTCTGGTGTCGATATTAGGCAACGCTACTTAAGAGCAAATACCTCCAATAAAATGAGAAGCTCTCCTGATATACCCTCAATAAGAATGTAAGCGACTTTAAATGTTTGGAAAGATCTCTGTCTGACAGCTTCTTTTTAGTGTTGGACTGCGTTATAAAAAGCAAAATGTTAACACTTCTGTGCATAAAGTTAAGAATGATAACTCCCGTGACCTTAATATTTTTATAGAAAACGAAATCGCAAACTATCATTTAGATTTGTTTGAAAATAATAACTAACCACAATTAGCACAATTTTAATAAAAACAATACAATTGCTTTTGCAGAATATATTTATTTCATTTGTGGGATTAAAATAACATGTAGCAGCCGCTGCAGAGTTGAAAAGTGAATAACATTAAACATCCTAACCTAAAAGCAAAGTTTTACATTTTTTAAAAAAATATGACATAATTTCCAAAAGGTTGAGTAAAGATGCGCCAAAAAAGAGTCCTATTACACTTCCAATGCCAACTGAAAAGCTTAAGCTTTTGGTTAAAAATAAATGATAGTCTATAAAAATCCTACCTATTAAATCTAGTTTGGTCTGGGTAACAGTTCTGTAGTATCTGGCGGTCGGTGGCGATGCTATTTCGATTTCAACCACATGTCCCTCAGTTTTGTCCGATTCGGACCCATACCTTTTCTCTCTGGACCTATATGCTAATGGATATTACAAATGTAAAGGAACAAATTCCATTTGTTTACCCGACAGCGCTAATTTGTTGTTCCACGCAGGATGGTAAACAAGCCATATGAGATCCAACATAGTCCTTGACTTTTTCGGCCAGTTTGCCTGAAATTATACAATTTTAGTTATAGTTACTTCTACAACTCAAAAGGAAAAGTCACCTGATTCTAAGCAGGATATTTCCTTGACTCCACAATAGTTTTTCGAACCTTAAAAAAGTAATACGGTTTAAAAATATTTGAAATTAATTGACAAGTGTCGAAACAAATTGACCTTTTGTAAACTTCCTCTTACGTTGCAAACTAGAACCTTAACATGACATTGAGAAATCGGCCTTTACTTACTTGGGTCTTTATGACTGAATAAAGTGCAGTTACAGATTTTCATCTCAATTTCACTTCGGATAATAGACATACAAATTGAAAAACTGGAGAAGATTATTAAAAAAAATTGATTAAATTCATTTAAAATTTGGGCTCACCTATAAGGAAGTCCCTTGATAGAACTTTCTGTTGGAAATTTACACAGGCGTTGGGAAACTGGTTCATAAATTACATTTTCATGATTATGAATCTCCTCGACATTGAAACTATGTATCATGGGATCGTCGGTAATCGCATAGGTTACAGCATTAAAATAGGGTAGATCTTCGGGACTGTTAACGTATAACTAAAATGCAAAATTCAAAACAAATTGAATTGACGGAACTGCGATATTTTAAAGGCTCTCACATCATAGCGATATACAAGGCCACTTTTTAAAACCAATCGGAGATTCCGGTATTCGTCCAATGAAGAATATAACAAAGGCATTTTTTCGATACTTTCACTAGGGGAGTTTTAAGAGAAATTCAAATTGTATATAAAGTTTCTAAATATTTATTCTTACTAGTCCATTAAATTGTTGGCAAGAAAGCAATAACCCATTTCAAGTTCGTGGAACTTGAATATTTGTTCGCAGTCCGGTATCAATTTTTCAGCAAAATAAATTTCGTCCACAAGGTCCTTACACGTCGTCGGAAATAACTATAACCGAATTTGTTAAAAACAATTAAAAAAAAAATTATTTCTACAGCACCTCTCTTCTCATGTCTAAAATATCAACTCCACATGTGGAATTTAATCCCTTGCAATAATCCGGCTTTATGTATAAGTTGTTTGGGTTTATAAAGAGGTAATCATATAGAGTTCTTACATATGTGTAATTCGGGTTTTCTCCAGGAAAACGTTTCTTAACAGCGGCTGTAAAGTCTTTAATTATCCGACTTTTTGAAAGACATATTCCAATCGATGGAAAAGTGTTTGTCCAACGAATATAAGCAGTTGACACTCCAATACTCGTGGAATCCGTTTCATATCTATTCTTCAGAAGAATGAATATTGTTATCATGCTCCATCCAGAAACAAGTACCACAAATATCCAATATAGCCTGCAATGATAAGTATCCTGAAGTTATATTTTTGGTATTCAAATAGTGCTCTGCAAGTTACCTTTTAGTTCTAGCAAAAAATAATAAAAAGCCAATAAAAGCCTGAACTGCCTTGCCCGACATTTTGTTTTACATTGACCAACTCAAATTTAAATTAACAGTTCTGCACAGGCGAGTAATTAATTTATAATATAAATAATTGAAAATGTATGTCGCAACCAAACATGCAATTTTTGGGTCCCATACTCATCACTATTTTTTATACCCAACCATGCACGCAATGTTTTAATGTATCACTGAGTATCGGCATGGTCTATATCAAAACGAATGCGTAGATTTGTTTAGGAAAGTGAACTTACCTCTTGAAAGTGTGTTCAATTATATGGCTGCAAAGATGCAACAATTATAACAGAGAAGATGAGCTTGTCCAAGCGTTGATTTTTATGCTCCATAGAACACACGCTATGGTTTCGATGCAGCATCTGAAAACTATCTCAGTTATAATCATTCACAAAGCAACTTATGGATATAAAAAGGTAAATATTAATATGTAATTAGGTAATTAATTACCAGAATTTGTTAAAAATTAATTCATTTTTAAAGAGACGGATAAAAAATAAATATATTTTTACTATAATATCGGAACTCCTTTGAGTGTGAATGATTTACCAAGTTTACAACCTCCACTACAGTCTAAAAAAACCACGATTTACCTTCTCCTAAACAAGTAGCAAATAATTTTGATGAAAAACTAATGCTGGTAGTCGTTAGTTGTCTGCAGTAAAACGTATTGCTACAATATGTTGGGGAAAGTGAAAAACAGCATTATTGTCATTTATATGACAATAGGTACGAAAAATAAAGTCTGGTATGAACTTATAATTTTAACAAATTAATATTACTTCAGGGCTGTTTTATATGCTGCTTAATATTAAGGCATCTTCCACATATATGAGACCAAAACGACAGGTAAATATGAGTAGTTTTTAAAAAAAAAGCGAAAGTGTGCAATGGATTTCAATTTTTAGATGTGGTCTGTGGATCATCCAGCGATTGTTTTATATAGACAACACCCGAGTGCTATGCGAAAATTTTATTGGTATAACACCAGGGCTCCGATTTTGGTAGGAAAAATGCGACTGAAAAACTACATGCGCAACATGCATATGCTGCCACGATACGTACACTCACCTGCTCAATATCACGAAGCCTATTCCAATTCAAAGAGGTATATTTTCTTTATGAGTGGTCACTTTGTCTTCTATCAATCTGGTTTTTCAGAAGCGTCTTCAGGGACTTGAATAATGTTCATGGATTCAAAACAACATCAACAACGCCGGCCCCCACTGTGGGCTACGTGGCAGCTCCGATTAATACAATTGAATATAGTACGGGTCCTGTAAACCCGCCTGTGGATTTCAACCTAGCGCCAGTTAACTCATTCGTACCGCTCACCGCTGGGACGCTCTCAAACGCAGAACGAGTGATGGGCGTTTCGAATCAGTGGAACCGGTCCGACTATTCCCATGATGTCTGGCAAAAGTGCACAGAAAACTGCTTTAAAAACTCCTTCCAAGATTATGCAAAAGACCAATATAGCTCGCACAGTATGCCCAAAGAATTGCCAGTTACTACAACAACTACCCTGCCTTACTTCAATTATGTTGCTCATACCTACTTCACTCTGGACGATGTTATTCTACCCCATTCGGCATCCAAGATCGCTAAATCCCCGACACTACACCAACATGAATTTCGACCCAGTCACCATGTACTCACAACAGTAATTCCGCAAGACGTATTTACAGAACGATTTAAGCACACAACGCAACCAATTCCAACAACCACAACAACAACAACCACGGAACCTTCGTTACCAGCAAAAACCACATTTTTGGATTTTGAATATAGCACTACGCCACATTGGATTAGTTCAACAACATCAATTACTACAACGTCGTCAACGGAATCGACGCTTTTGGAAAACACTCTGAGTTGGACAACACCGCAAACCATAATAAATAACTATTCAAAAACAAATGTTACAACACAGTCATTCAAACATAGGTTAAAATCTTTGAAAGCTACTAAAGACTTTTCTTCAAATATTGAAACTAAACTGAAATTGTTAAAGCTGCATCTCAAAAATCTCGTTACCACAAAAGAAACTCCCAGGAACATTCAAAATTTAACAACATCAGCTGTTACCGATAGTAACACCACATTGCCCGATTCTACAACAACTCCCACGCCCGTAACAAGAAGGACAACTGTTAATCGAAAATTTAGAAAGCTGCGAGTCCCGGCATCAACTAAAAAGGTTCCGATTCAAATATCACGAAATTCTACAAATCCTATTAATGCTAAGAAGGAATATAAAAAGTCAAAAAGAATTTATCAAAGACGCAAACACTTAAATTCTACCGTTTCCCCAGAACCAACCAAAAACACAACAACTATTGACAATGAATCGATCAACAAGTTTAAACGCCGCGCAACAGCAAGCACGCGAAAATCGATAAATGCCGATGAAAAGGTAATCGTTGGGAACTCTACTAAAGCCACCAGTCGCGGTGTAGCGAAGTCTCGCGCCGACGGAATACCGGAAGAAAAATCAGCCTTAGTCACAGAATCCGCAATTATGACTATTTCCAGCGGCAATATGAGGACAAGGCAGCCAATAATAAAAGTAAAGCCAAAGCAGCACATCACAAGAAAAATTAAACATTTAGAGAACGATAATTTCATACCGTCCCTGCCTATTGAAGTATATTTTAAAAAAGTAAATCAGCAATAAATACAAATAGTCTGAAAGTCATGCATGTAACATGTGTTAATTAACAAAGAAATATTAAATATTATACTTACAGAGACATTATTAAGCACCATTAAAATTTGTGTTTTATTTAATAAGCTTGCGAATTCGGTCCGAGTTGGCAGACAGCATTTGATTTTCCTTGATTTAGAATTAGAATTTCCATTTTAATATTATATCATAAATATTAAATACTTTTGCACTTTTTTTTGTTGGTAGGCCACAAAAGGTTCACGCATAATTTGAATTTACGTGTGCCGATTCCACTGTTTCAAAAACAAGTGACTGCCGAAAGCGCTGAAAATTCCGAGTGCTAAGATGCATTCCTGCTTTTTTCTTATTGTTGACCGGAAACAAAACGTGGGTTTGATTCGATAGCTGGGTTCTTTCATTTTACATCTTCGGTTGGAACAGTCACTGGACTTTGCAAGTAGGTTAGTAATTTTGCATTTTTGCGAATTTAAAAATTGCAAATTCGCCCGACAAACGCTGGAATTGTGTGGATGTATTCGGAGCTCGTTAAAACAGTTGCAAATTAAGTTCGAGCTAGAATTAGCCTCCGGCTGCCACCGCACATTCACTTATGTGCCGAAGAAAGTATTTACATACATACATAGAAATCTGCAGTACACAACTTTCGAGTGCCCACGTCTAGATGACTTTGCCAATTTAAATGTTTGAACATTTTAAAGTGCTTGGGTGTGCATTTGGCATACGACATTTCGAATACATACGTATGGGTGCCGTGCCTGCCGATGTACATGCATACATATTTTCGGCTTGCACACATTCATAGTTACATATGTGCGAAGCTGTCTGTATGTACATATATAATGTGATTTTAACACTGGATCGCGTCTTTGTGTTTTGTGTTGTACAACAATTATATCGTATTTAATTAACAAATAATTAATTTGATTAATTTCTTGTGTTGTGGCAGACATGGCAGAATTGGACGATCATTTCGAGACGACGGATTCCGGCGCATCGACGACCTATCCCATGCAATGTTCGGCATTGCGCAAAAACGGATTCGTCATGCTGAAGTCTCGGCCATGCAAGATTGTCGAGATGTCTACTTCAAAGACTGGAAAGCACGGACACGCCAAGGTTCACATGGTCGGCATTGATATTTTCTCCAACAAGAAGTGAGTATTCTGTGGCAGTTAACACAAAGGAAGCATCGCGGTGCTCTTGATTATCAAAAAAAAAAAAAGGAAACGTATTCGCAAGTAATCTTATCTTGGACTGAGACGTATCAATAAATTTATGGAGGAAAAATGGAATCTACCTATGCGACGCTGTTCACTTTAAGGCTTTTTAATTATGCAAGATGCGAAATTATCTTCTATATTTCCCTCTGTAAAACGCTTCTGTGGCTTATCATCGTTGCAGATATGAAGATATTTGTCCATCTACTCATAACATGGATGTGCCCAACGTGAAGAGGGAAGACTTTCAGTTGATTGCTATAAGTGATGATGGCTTCCTTACATTGATGAGCGAAGGCGGAGATTTGCGCGAAGACTTGAAGGTTCCAGATGGCGATTTGGGCGAGCAACTGCGTTCAGATTTTGATGGGGGCAAGGACTTACTGGTGAGTTTCTTTTGTCATTTTATAGTTGCACCCGACATCTGTATTTATGATTTGCCTTCTTTGTTTACAGTGCACCGTGCTCAAGGCGTGCGGAGAAGAGTGTGTTATCGCAATTAAGACCAATACTGCTCTGGACAAATAAGCAAAATGTGTCGCTGCAAATTTCTGTTGCATTTACATCTGAAACAAATTTATTCAAAGATGCTGTTATAGGCTAGTTGGCTCTACATCTTAAATCTGGTTCTAACGATTGTAATAAATATAACAGAAACTCGAAGCATCCATGTTTGAATAACTAAGTAACAAGATACACGTTTGCCAATAAAATTTTTTACCTAAACGTCATCCGTAAAATTTCGATCCGCTTTTCATTGGGTACTGCCGTTTGAGAAAGATGAAAATCTCCGCCGTGGGACGCCTTTTTTATAATTCGCACTGTTGAATGGAAAAAGTAAACAAAATGCTTGATTGACAGTTGGTTGAATGGCGTCACTTGGGCACGCCGTCAATAAGCAGGGCGGGAAACAGATGGTGCGATAGTACCGGCTTGGAAATGGTTCGGAAGGAAACCTTTTCATATTCATTTGTGGGTATTGTAATATACATAATTTGTAATTATTAAATGCCTTCGAAAAGGGGAGAATCAAATGAGACTAATTTATTGATTCCTATGTGTGTATACTAATTGAGGCAGGTCGATATGTTCTTGTTGTGATGTCAAAAATTACTGTTGCATACATATACGATTTCAATCGGAAAATGGTGTTGACAAACGGTATATAGAATGACAACGTTGCAGAAATGCTGGAAAAGGGAAAACATATAATAAAAAATGCAAATATCTTATAAATCCAACAAAGCCCAACGATAGTTTTTCAAAACCGGTATGAAACACAATCGATATATCTACGTAGTGGTCACTTAAAATGGCTTAAAAAAATATAAAGATAATTAATTGTTCAGTTTATAAGCCAAACTATCTATGTTTCTTAGAATTGATGTACCATCTGTACATATATTTTAAAACAATAAAATAATAATATTCAATTTATTTTTAATTTATCGCATTCGCTCAACTCGTTTCACTTCCACGTTCCATTTAAGTCACCTTCTATTCCGATAGCTCCCACCGATACGTCCCCCTCATACACTCGTGCCGGAAATCGATAAGCTTCTTCTTTCTTTTTCTGTGTGTCTTTTTTGCGGTACAGTACAGATCCCGAAAATGTCTTTAAAAAAATCGGCGAAAACTAATGTAATCCTCTCCCTACAGCGACTGTTCAAGCCGAGATACCACAATGCCTCCCAAATTCGACCCCACGGAAGTTAAATTGGGTAGGTTTCCAAATGTTGGCTCGGAGAGTTCGGCTCCCGAAGACCAAATTAAAAAAGAATTAAGTATCTGCAGATAATAACGTATTGTTTTGCCAATTACAGTGTACCTGCGTTGCGTGGGCGGAGAAGTCGGAGCCACATCTTCCCTGGCCCCCAAAATCGGTCCCCTCGGTCTGGTAAGCATGCAAAACGGTTTGTTTACGTGCCCCCAGTTTTGTGCTAACAAGAGATATGTCCCCGCAGTCGCCCAAAAAAATTGGAGATGACATCGCCAAGGCCACCTCCGACTGGAAGGGTCTGAAGATTACCGTCTGCCTGACCATCCAGAACCGACAGGCTGCCATCTCCGTGGTTCCCTCCGCCGCCTCTCTGATCATCAAGGCTCTGAAGGAACCCCCACGTGACCGCAAGAAGCAGAAGAACAGTGAGTATTACCACCCGGCTTTCTTGGGATTCCAAGTGCTTCTGAGTTTCATGGGACAGAAATCTCAGAAGACAATCTGCATCCATGATGGCTTGTAAACTAACAACCACTTTTTCTCCCCCATTTTAGTCAAGCACAGTGGCAACATTGCCTTCGATGATATTCTGGCCATCGCGCGAGTGATGAGGCCCAGGTCCATGGCCCGCGAACTGAAGGGAACTTGCAAGGAAGTTTTGGGTACCGCACAGAGCGTCGGCTGCACCGTTGACGGAAAGCACCCTCATGATGTTATTGACGAACTGAACGAGGGCTCCATTGAAGTGCCCGCGGAATAAACAGTTTTTAATCCAGAATTAATAAATTGTACGCGTTACAGTCTGTAATAATTGACCCAACCGGAAAGCATTTTACTTCGAGCTGACTTGCTAGCCAATGTGCTAATAGATAAGAAGTATTAGACTGCTTATCAAACGGAAAGTGGAGAAGTAGTCGAAATAGATTAAACTATGAAAAAGTGGAGTATAAATATGCCTACTAATAACGAAGTCATATGCAGAAATAAGCCATCAGTGAATCAGCTGTTTCACTATTCCGTAGTCACAATCAGTTAATAGAGGTTAAACTGGTTTTATTGGACATTGAATTTACTATGTAATTAAGTGGGAATTCGTATTATCATCTGGCATTTGGATTGCATAAAACCGCATTAGTTTTATACACTTTAGTCCTTGGCGGCAGTACGGCTCATTAATCATTGATGATCACGATAAGTGAACCTACAACTTAAAGCAGTTTCAATGGGAACTGCATTTTTTATTTCTGTAGTTGGGAAGTTTAACCATTTTTATCTGACAATTTACGAGAGTCCCTCTTTTGATAATAGCTATTTTGACAAAGTTCCCAGATTTACATAATGTAATGGGCGGATGCCCATCCTTTAAAATAATGGTACCCTCGCCGTTAAACCCACACATAAAACAAGCAGTATGATTTAATCCGAGAAATTTAAACGAATTTATTTTATATTCTTGAAAAGATCTTCCGCATTTCCACAAATTGCGGAGCTTCTGGAATCAACAGCTTACAGCTTCAACTTGGTACGCCTCCAGTGACGACGCTTAGCGTTGTAGCTAGAATTAAAAACAGAAAGTTATTAATTTTTGAGAACAGTATTTAAAGGGTTAAAATAAAGGAAACATTAAAATAGATTTTTGAATGTAATTTCAAGGTAAACATTTGACTTAAACGAAAGGCATCAGCGAGCTTAAAACTTAATTTCATTTAAGTTATGTATGTGCGGATTCATATTTGTTTTGGCCCAATATACCGGTGCTACAATTATGCATGTTAAAGCAAAAAATCTTGTTATTGCAAAAACTTTAAGAGACTGAAGTCGGAGCATTTAAACAAACACAAACTCTACTGTTTCGTTGAAATACATTTTAAGGAAAATCGATATGGAAATTAACTTACCGGATTGTGTTGCCAGTACGTAGGCGGACCCATTGGGGAACCGATCTGTTCTGCTTCAGCTTTTTAGCCAGCTTCTGCTTTATTCTGAACGACTTGTGTGCAGCCTGGTGGGGAAAGACATGGAGAGTGTTATAGGATTTACATATTTACAAAATATATAATGATTTCAAACAATTATTTTGATTTCCCACCATTTCGTCCGATCTGTTCAACGAGCCACACCGGAAAGAAAGAAGTGTTAATGGTGGGCGATTGTCGATACGTTAACGAGCATTCAAACCGATGTTTTTGGAGTGATGGTAAAGAAACAGAAAAACATTTATAAAATGAAACTATTTTAATATTAAATAAATAAAATTATTTAAAAAGAAGCCTCGATACTTTTATTTGTAATACGATTGCTACAATTTGAATTAAAAAATTATAAATGTAATTGAATAGTACAGTGACTTTCATAAGTGGTAATGGTATGACCGCTATTTTCAATCAACCGCTCAGCGCCTTATCTGTGCAAACCAATAATAGGATCAGAAATCCCTAAAACTTTTGGCGGGTAGAAAAATTATATATTACTAATATATAATTTATATATATATATATAAAGTATTTTTAACGTTTTATTGATTATTTTTTGCTGCGAATAGATAATTTGCTGCGGAATTTGGCCGTCAAACATATAACTTTAAATTTGTAAATGTTATATAATATGTTTTTTTTTACATAATATATGTGTAATGTAATTACACAAGGCATAAACCAGCGGTATGGTTTGGAACTTCAGACTCATGTAAAATTCTTGTTTCCACAGACTTTCTACCCAAAAACAGCTGACGCAATACAACCATGCCGTGCTCAGGATTAAATAATTTAAAAATGTATAATTTGCTAAGTTTTATTTAAGAAACAAAGCAGATTTCCAAAATCGATAATTTTTCATATGATTAATATATGTTTAAGTCTGAACATATTGGCCGTATGTATAACTGAAATGTTATAATATAAATATTAAAGTTTAGTAATAATAAATAAAATCAAGTTTTTGTTTCAAATCTTAGTTATATATGTTAAATGTTAAAACTTAATTTATTCGCAGGAATAGCATTCAATTAAATATTTTTTTTATAAAATTAGATATTTAATTACATATATTTTGGGCCTTCAATTAAATTATTTGTATTATTATTTATTTTATTGTCTGTGGGTTTTAATGTGAATTTCGTTAAATTGTATAAAAATACGGAAAATATTTTTGCATATTCCCGAAACGACTGATTCTCTGAATTTTTGAAAACTACGCATTTGAGCAAACGACCAAATATCTTACAGCTGTTTTAGTTTCTTATTGTACATTGTTTCAGCTTTCCTTATCAAAGGAAAAGGAAAATAAAAGAAAGTCGATTAAATGGATTTGATAACAAATTATTAACATTCTTTATTTACATAAATATGGTTATTTCTTCGAAGTTTGAACCAGTTTAAATAAAAATCTACATCTAACCTGGTTTTTCCTGCAGTTCAAAAATGTTCAGCAGCCTTTTGATTTGCTGACATTTCCGACAGTTAAACTTATATGGAACAGCTGGCAAACAGAGATTTAATCGATTAGGCAATATCGAATTTATTTTCCAAAAAATGATAGTTATTAAATGTATTTCAATTCCATAGTTCGATTACAATCCTATCGATTGTTCGGACAATTGTCGTGTGTATCTGCCCCTAACATTTTTGTTCTAAAACCATTATTTCATTTCCTCTATACCAATGCATCGTTCCATTTTCCATAAGTGTCAGTGTCATCATTTATCAATTATCATTTGATTATTATATTTTACAATATAATATGTGCTTAAGAAAAGTTAAAACCAATTCCTGCTAGGGACGATGAACCAATAGACCGCAGTTTTGCAATCGAACTTGTGCATTACATGCATTGAAACGCCATGTCAATCCATACATAATATTTTGCTTTGTAAACGGTTTTAAGTTGAAATACATATACATAAATAGTGTTAAATATAAACACATACAGAACATACAATCGCATCTATATTGCACGCATCGAATAACACAAAAAAAGTGATTTAACAATGCGCGAATTTAAAGTTGTTGTGCTCGGGTCTGGGGGTGTTGGTAAATCGGCCCTCACGGTGCAATTCGTCTCGGGATGCTTTATTGAAAAGTATGATCCGACAATTGAGGACTTCTACCGCAAGGAAATAGAGGTACGTAAACTGTTCATATGGGCGATATCGGATCGGGCAGACATAATCAATTTACAAACCAACGCAGACACACGCACATATCTACATATACATATATGTATGTACTAAGCGTAATCACGCATATACATATGAACGTCTGTGCTTACAGGCACATACAGACATATGTATGCATATATATGTGGATACATATAATGAGCGATTAATTGTATATATGCACATATAGTATGTTCTTGTAGGTGCGAAATGAGCTTAAGTATTTGTGGCTATGTAGGAGTATTACATATTTGTATGTAATTCATAAAGTATGTAATTCATAAATTCACAAGCGTCTGTGCATCCAAATGTGCATATTTGAGCATAGGCGTGGGTGTTGGTGCAAGGATTAGGCCAAGCCAGTTTTGAAATGAATCATAGGTGTCAAAAATTATGGGGTCTTTTAAATAGGGAGTTATGCCCTTTAATGCAATTCTCGTTTCGGTTTGCCTGCTAAACTTGTTTTAAACATATAATATGCGCTCAACACTGTGCTGAGTGTTTTTGTTTTCGAGCTAACTCTAAATGTTTGCTATAAAATATATATATAGCGTATAGTGATGATACATAATGGTTTTATTATTTGTGTAATTTATTTATTCAATTAATAAGCTGTCATCACTAGAAATATCTTCAGATTTGAACAAAAACTCAAAGCGCAGATACGCAAACCAGTGTAAAACATGTATGCAAGTGACACATGCATATGCACAAATACATGAGTTCATCGGGTATCTGATATTTCATGAATCTCGGAAACGGGCTTTTCATTCCGAAAACCAGATGCAAGCGCATAAAAGCCGCCTTCATGAAAACAAAATATGTCTAATGATGTTAAAAGACAAAGAGCAAGCACTTCTTCCGCATTCGCACATGCCCACAATCGTATATACTACCCCATTGTACCGACCCAAAGCACTTGTACAACCCCTAATACTGCAGCTTTACTTACGGGAAAACCTATTGACATACCCCTTGAAAAGTAAATAACTATTCGAATTAATCCGTACCACGTCAAGAGAAAGACATTTTAATTTAAACACACTAAGTACTCCTATTTAAGTTCATCGCCCTTAATAGAATGATACTAATGAATTTAACTCTTTATTTGCAGGTGGACAGCTCGCCATGTGTTTTGGAAATTTTGGATACTGCGGGAACAGAGCAATTCGCATCCATGAGAGATCTCTATATCAAAAATGGTCATGGTTTTATTGTAATGTATTCACTTACGAACCATCAAACATTTCAGGTATGGAAAGCATCAAGTCATTTTGTGTCTATCGTGTTTTCTTTATTACCTTTTTTCCTTATATATGTAGATTTGAAACATTCTAATGCTTAATAACGCTTGGCTTTATTCCACAGGATATTTCTAGTATGAAAAATGTGATCACTCGAGTTAAGGGAAGTCAGCCAGCACCCATCCTACTAGTCGCAAACAAATTCGATTTAGATTGCCAAAGAGAGGTATCCACCGCTGAAGGTAAGCATCATTTAATAGCCCTAAAATATCAAGATAAGCTTGCTTACACTCATGATTTTAATATTTGTTCTTTTAAAGGTAATGCCTTGGCACAACTGTGGGACTGTCCATTTATTGAAGCATCAGCAAAGGATCGGATAAACGTTAACGAAGTATTCGCCACCATCGTTCGCGAGATGAATTTGACACAAGAAAATCGGCAAAAAAAAAATTACTGTTGTTGTACGCTTTTATAGAAATTTTGTAAAATTGTAAGATTATTATAGTTAAAAAATAAAATTACTAATATTTAATAGATAACGAACATAAGAATGTATTTTTATTGCCTGGTGGATAAATGAATGATTAAGTCAACTTATTAAGAAAGATAGTGATTCATGGCCCCGTATAAATTTGGAAAACATCAAGTCATCTAGATGGTGATTAAAGCGAACCAACAAGTTATAATTTTTAACAGTCTGATGACTACGCGTAACATAAATATTTAAAAATGAATTTTGGAGAGCTTAGTAATAGTACGAACTATCAAGTTTAGGGAATACATCAAATCTCGATCTTATATTAATAACTATTCAGTTTAGATGGGTATAGAATCCAAAAAACGTTATTTTACATAATTTTTGATGCTTAAAGTTCATGTTACAGAACAATTGAGTTCTTTTTTCACCCGCTCTTTACAAAAGTCGAGGGGTATGGGGTTTTTTACATGAGTCATCGCTGCTGACCACACCTTCAGTTCACCTGAACTCTCCCTTTAGCGATCAAAAGTCATCTGAAATTTGTAGTTAGCCATGTTAATTTTCTCTTTTAATTCAATTCGTTAAATTTAATTCATTCAACGAAGAAGATGAACCAGTTCAAACCACAAAGACTTCAATAATATGCACATATGTAAAGAAATACTATAAAATTTGAAAAATATTTAATTTAGAATAATACAAAATATAAAACTTTTAGGTCTAATACAGATGTATACATTTGAATTAATTAATTTTATACCATTCCAAATCGTCAGGTTTGTGGGAAGACGGCGGATTTACAATGGCCTGTGCGTCATTGAACAAGTTACTGCAAAGATTATCCTCAATCTGAAAATAGCAATGTGTTGGACAAACTCGGAAACACAAATGGGGGCTTTACGAATGCTCACCTGGAGGGAAGACACTAAGTTATCTGGGCAGTCGAGGACGCTAAGCCCAGATTCTGCAAAGATATACGGTAATAGGAGGTGTTAATAGAGGCGTGTGTAAGATAAGGAGTGTTCGGCCTCTATCTCAAGATCAGTACTATAGTGAAAGCAGAGATGCCATGGGAATTACGTGATCCGCCCCCCGCCCACTGCGCACTTAAATGTTATCTAGCGATATCTCTACGATATCTATGTGTCTCGTTGGCTTACGCTAGTTGGGGTGTTGGAACGAGACTTACGCATTCTGGGATCATTCCATGAAGTCGTTCGATCAATGTGATTTATAAAGTAAAGATCTCCGGACTCGGTAACTGCCTGCTCCCAACCATCCGGCAGTGGACCCATATTGTTAGCAATGGTCGATGTGGTAGTTTGTTTTGTAGTTTGCAAAACATCTATCGAACAAAAACAATGAATTACAAACCAAAGTAAATAAAAACAAATTAAAATAGGTCTAAACGTAATGCTGCAGTGTAAGCGGATGATAACTGGGGGGCACTTGCAGACAGCATGCAGCACAAATCAATTTAAGGAAATTTAAATCAACTTTAACCTCCCACTCCCCAATGCCAAAATGATAACACTCCCAAAAACGTGTGTGGTAAATGGATTTAGTTAATTGAATGTATACCCTAAGATTGGTGTTTTAGCTTTTCATGCGTTAAATGTAATGAGTTAGAACCTATTTTATCCCTGCCTAGCCTAGAGCATTGATTAGTTCTCTAACAGATGATTTAGATGGGTTAAATGTGAAACGCAGCCTCAGGCAGTTAACGATTGACTTAACTATAGTTTAAAAAACAAGTAGAACCTACCATTTTGCTTTATTCGCTCGGCCATTAAAATTTGCTGCTGTTGGCGATATTGAATTCTGGGATCCTCCCACTGCGTAGATTTTGTAGTATGACTGAAAGTAAAACAAAATAAATTAGTAAAGTGTTTCTTATGGCAAAAAAATCTACAGAGTTCTTTAACTCAGAAGTACAATTCTTATTTTACTTTACTTGGTTTAAGTTTTTAACGAAAAACATAGTAAGGTACTTAGTTTTAGGTTTTTCAACAGTCAGATAGCTTTACTTAATAGTAGTTTTTAGAATGGAACAAGAAGTTGGTTAAACAAAGACTACAAGCTTATTGGTTAACATAGATGACTCAAAATAGTTTTATAATAGAAAAGACATGTTAACTAAGTTTAAAAATGTATCTAAAATAATATAAATAGCTTAAAGGGAGTATCGATTTGGTAAAGTATATTTTTTGAGTTTTTATGTTAATAAAAAAATCAATTTAATTTTGTTTAATGAAAAGAAATATCATATAGGCAAGAATAGAAAATATTTTGCTGAGAACACTAAGGAAAATGTAATCGTTTACAGGAAAATCAAAATTAATTTTGGATTTTTCAGATGCGGTCGTCACTACTTTCTTACCTTTTCACAAGGCGCTTTTGTTTGCTTAAGATACATATAATGCTTAGTGAATAAGACACGTAACCTAGGGTATAAGGTAGAAAAGTGCCCCAAATACTCACTTCAAGTAGTAGATCTGGCCATCGTTGGTCTTGGCCTGCTCCCATCCTGGTGGCAAGGCGCCCAGTTGACGCTGCAACTGAATAGGGCTTACCACGTCGTAGGAGCGCTGCTTCTTGTGGGCCGTCTGCATGGCCATGGGTATGTCCTGCGACATGCACGTGTTCATGGCGTCCAGATCGATGGAGCTGGCCGGGGCGCCGCTGGGGAACTCTTGGGCACTGTTCTCGGGGAAAGTGGGCCCAGCGGTGGGCTGTTGGCTGCTCGGATTGGCATTTGGGTTGTTGGCGGCGTCGCTCCGGGCGCGCACATTGTAGTTCTGCTGCAGCGAGGCGGGGCTGCTGCGGGCACGGGAGTGATGTATCGCCAGGCGGCTGTGCTGCGGTGATGGCTGGAGCTGGGGGATGGCAGCGATGGGCGACTGGCCATCCGGGCCACCTGGCTGCTGCTGCTGTTGCTGTACCTGGACCACCGACTTGTTGCTGATGTTCGACTGGGAGCCCGCGTCATAGGTGGAGTCGGCGCTATTGGCCCGCGAATGCGAGGGCGCCGGGGGCGTGAAGAACGAGTTGGGCAGCTTCCGCATGCGCAGGGGCAGCTGCAGCGGGCGCTTGGCGTCGCCCGGATTCAGGACGCTGTCGAATAGCGCCTGCAGATTGTCGTCCGTGTCCTGGTTGACCCGCACCACCAGATTGTTGGACTTGATCGGCGACAGCATGTCCTCGTCGTCGATCTCCTTCTCGATCAGGCTGTTTGTATTGCTGCTGGCTGACATCGTCGTTAACATATAAAAGGCACTTATTGTATACAAATGAAAACTACATAGAATTATCTTAGCGATTAGGCACGCGCACATATATGTTCGTTCATATACATATCACTCCATCGCGCTACGCTACGCGAAACTATAACATAAAGGTGTTAAAAACTAAACTTCGTTGCAATAAATAATAGTAATAATAATAATTACGGAACTGCCAACATAAAACAAACACACTTGGGAACACCATCCACTTGCCCATACCAATTCCAGCGTTCCCCTGTTATCGGTTTCGTGGCTGCACCTGCGGAATGCTAGGGGTATTCCTCCAACTAATTTAGAAATATTGTCGCTTTTCGCATCAGCTGCTTGTTAGCGGGGAATGGCCAGTGCAACCTTGTGATCTCCTAAAAAATTAGGAATTCACGGCGATGGGTGGACTTACTTACTTACTACACAGAACCCGAATTTCAAACGAAGGGATATCTTTGTCATTCCCGATAAACATTCAAGCTATGTGTTTATTTAAGTTTTTCATGTTTATTTAATATATTTAGTTTTTGATGGTATTTTTATCTTGAGTATATAAATATTTTATTATTTTCGCTTTTTTATGTCTAAGTGGAGCTTAAGAGAATTTTAGGAAACCGCATTGTTTTTATTGAAGATTTTAACAAGCACTGTGGATTAACAGATTTTTTTTAAATATAATTGCGAAAAGGAATTTGAACTATAGCATCGATCATTTTGTAATGAAAACATTTTTTATCAGTGTACCTTTGTGTCAGCTTCAGCGGAACAATCTGCACTGGAACAACCCGTTTCTTTCCGACCGGATCTTAAACTCTCCCGTTTCATTCCGTTCGCGCTAGAGATGAGCGCGGGCCAGGTTGTTGGGGCACGAGACAGGTTTTCAACACAGCCAATGGCCATCTCTAGTCCCCTCTACAGCAAAAAAAGAATTTTAACATTGTATATATTGGCACGACACAATTCGGAAGCATTTTGCTCTTGACAATAACTAATGTCCCATGAATCAAATGTAAAATGATCAGCGCGATACTGGACTTATTTTGGATCCCCATTGGGGGCTTTCTCTCATTTCTGATATTTATTTCCGCCATAAACAAATCAATCGGCGTCCGAAAAGCGTATGTGAACCTTCTCTTAAGGATATTCGAGGTAAATATTATTTTGGTAAAAACTGTTAAAATATTAGAAACAGTTTGCAGTGTTTTTGTGCGGTGGCTGCTTTGAAAAAGGTGTTGTTCTCTGAATAGTTAAGGTATTCCAAAGTCCATAAATATAGTCAGCTTTGGAATACAAGCGTACGACTGTCATACGCATTAACTTTAATGTAAACTTATGGCAAAAATGTTATTTTACCAGAAGTTTCAAAATAATTAAACTGTCAGTAATGAGTCTGTCAACTTAGTGTGATTTAAGTGCATATTTAACACTTTTTGGGCACATGTATTCTGCCAGTCATTATCGCGCCTGATTATGGTTAGGAATACTCTTATCTATAGATAATCCCCCGACTCACGTTTGGTAATTACTAATCAAGTGTGCCTCCATTTTCAGTACGGTCGAGTCAGTATAGAGACAGCATCCAAAGAAAACCACCTTTCCGTTCGTACTACCAAGACTGACAACAAACAGGGAGTGCAGTTGGTGGACGATGCCGACTCCAAAGAAGGTACCAATGGGGCTACCTTAATCACCAGAGACGCAGTCCTGCTGCCCCAGGCGCAGGAGCCTGCTCCCGAGAAACCAGTTTCCTCCAAGAAGGTATGTGATTTAACACTTTTAATGTAATGAGACCCTAATCCCTGTATCATTTCGCTTTGCAGGATGAAATTAATTTCGATTTTGAGAAATGTCTGGACTACGTGAAGTCAGGGGTAGAAGCCATAATCGAGGACGATGTAACATCGCGTTTCGAGGCGGAGGAGCTCAAGAGCTGGAACATGCTCACACGCACCAATAGGCACTACGAATTCATTTCCTGGAAAATAACTTCCATCTGGGTGTTCGGCTTCTTCATCCGATACGTAATTCTAATGCCACTTCGAGTGCTGGTCTGCTTCGTTGGTGTGAGTATAACCGGTTGATTTAATGGATCTACCTTTGACTACCCGACTTGTCTCGATTCCCATGCATGCGAATAATTGCCCCTTTCAGAATCCTCGTCAATATTTTATTCGTTAAACTACAATCATGCATAGGAATTGGGCTGTCGAGTAGTTTCCCTTACAGTTTACAAAAAGAAAGTGACCAAACGGACAGAAACTGGTAGTACTATATTCACTAGGAAATAAAAAATATTTTATGATATCGAGACTGAGGAAAATCATAGGATAGTCAATCGGACGTCCCTGTTTCGCGCGTTTAATATTTGTAAAGCTTGTACTAACGTTTTCTTTGGTACTTCAGCCTTTAATTTGTAGATAAAAACTCTTCAAAAAGTGATCTAACCAAAGTTCCGTTGATAGTAACTTACTATGTTTATTTATTAATATTTTTCTTGATTGAACACATTTTTTAACATATTATTTCACAAAGACCTTAATATTTGTTTCTGTTTTGTGTCCGTCCTATAATTTAATACTTATCTAATAAAAACTATTTAATTCCTAGGTTTTATTTGCAGTTTTATCAAACTCCATTGTGGCTTGTTTACCCTTTCGATTTTTACGGCTTTCTTTAGCGAGCTTGTCATTCAAAATTACGTTCCGCCTTATTTCGACTTCTATGTCTTCTTTTATCAAGTTCCACAATAAACAATATAAGCCCACAGTTTCTGGGTTCTGTGTAGCCAACCACACTTCGCCCTTGGATGTGGCAATATTATCGACCGATTGTACCTATTCTTTGGTGAGAAAGAAATTTTTATCTTAAATCTACACTTAAAACTGCTTTCATGTTGTGTTAAAAATTCATGCATGTAACACCCGAAATGTTAAATCTCAAACTACTAAAATCTTTGGGCTTTAACAAATATAACAATAATAAAGAAATTCAGGAGTAGGAACATAAAATCTTTCTAATGTACAAGTAGTTCATGGTTTTTCTAACTTATGTTAGCAACCCATTATCTGCAGATATATTGTTCAATGATTTTATTAGTTTTCGTTCGAGCAATGTTATCAAAGAGTTCCAATGTATATGCCTTGGCCGATAGCCATTATCTTAGTACACATGGAGTTTAGACCCGACGCATATTAACATACCTACAAGCATCGATAACTTTTGATCAACCTCGCTGACAGAAAACATTTTATAACAACCTGATAAGTCGTAACTACTCCAAGTTCAGGCTTAATAAGTCTATTTGAAAGTGCATGCATGAATTTATTTAAAGAATTTCAGTTTTAAATGTCGTATATTAGTTTATGTTGCAATATTGGCTTTTGTTATTGTCCTCGCCTAAATGTGTGTCTGTAATCTTAAGTTTGGCTGATTTTTAGTTTGTTATTTTGCTGTACGAGTATCCAAGAACGCGAATCAGGTAAGATAAGCGCCATGGCTATCAAATTAATTAATTTATTACTTTATTTATTGCTCCCACGGTTGCTCGTTTGCTATTTTCCTATCCATACAACGTCTGACGATTAGGTTCAGCTGTTTAATGTGGTTTCCCCGGTGATTTTGTTTGCGGGGTGGGCTTCTGACTTTTAGAATCTTTAGAGGCGAGGCGCTGGAAATAAACACCTCTGAAGCTAATGTTTTAAAGGACTGAGATATCACTCTATTTACAGAATATTCAAAGAATGCACATAGGTTGAGCCACAGTTGACTGTCCTTAAAGCAGTGCAAAATGTGAGTGATGAAGCTGATTGTAACGATGCCTGCTACAAAAGCCCCTCTCCAATGATTTTCAGTGACCACCCGACCCAAAAAAAACAAAGCTAATGCTGAAGCTCCATATAATTGACTTCCCTTATTGTTCCCATTCTCGTTTTGTGCAATCTTAGGTAGTGTGGTTAACAGTTTGTACGGCTGCAGTGGGATATTTGAAGGATGGGCCCTACAAGCGCGATCTCGTGCACAAAGTGCTCGGCATGTGCTTCGGCGTTCTGTCCAGCGCCATATCGGCGGTTATCACCTACCACAATGAGGATAATCGGCCATCGTCTGGTATTTGTGTCGCCAATCATACCAGCCCCATCGATGTGCTGGTCTTGATGTGCGACTCGACCTATTCGCTGGTAAGGCTACTTTGGAACCTGAACCCACTAACCACTATATGGAACTACTACTCACTTTGGTTTTTAACATCCTTATTTCATAGTTTCCCAAGTAAAAATTGAAAAGTAATTGAAGCACTTATTTATTTTTTAGTATTATCCCAGACATGTATGATATAAATTAGGAATTTTGAAAGAAAATTGATTTAAACCTTTAATTTCCAGCTAAGGGTGCTTAGATATAAGAAAAGTTCAAGTCGAAATATTTGGAAACCCTTAAAAAAATTACTAATGCGCTGATAATAACAATCGAAAACGACTACAATTGAAAATTGACTTTTCCTTTTGCACGAGTAGGTACTAACCCGAATTTAAGCTTGTTTTGGTGATGGTTTTTATGTACTGCATGTTTAATGTTTTGGTTGCTTTGTGTTTTTGGTGCATTTAAGATGCATTTTCTTAACCAGTTAATAAGTTGCCAACTGACTTTCTAGATTGGCCAACGCCATGGAGGCTTTCTGGGCGTGCTGCAAAGAGCTTTGGCCAGGGCATCTCCTCACATTTGGTTTGAGCGTGGCGAGGCAAAGGATCGCCACTTGGTGGCCGAGCGACTCAAGCAGCACGTTTCGGATCCAAACAACCCACCGATTCTCATCTTCCCGGAGGGAACCTGCATCAACAACACATCGGTTATGCAGTTCAAAAAGGGCAGCTTCGAGGTTGGCGGCGTCATCTACCCGGTGGCCATTAAGTGAGTTATCAGAAGAGTCTTTACTTCGGATATTTAACTAAATAGAGTTGTACGATTATACTCTCTTTTATCTCTTCAAGGTACGATCCAAGATTCGGCGACGCTTTCTGGAACAGTGCGAAGTACTCGATGATGCAGTATCTGTACATGATGATGACCTCGTGGGCCATAGTGTGCGATGTGTGGTACCTGCCTCCAATGTACCGGCAGGATGGAGAGTCGGCGATTGACTTCGCGAACCGCGTGAAGAGCGTGATTGCCAAGCAGGGAGGCTTGATTGATCTGGTCTGGGACGGACAGTTGAAGCGCATGAAGCCAAAGAAGGAGTGGAGGGAGATCCAGCAAGTGGAGTTCGCCAATCGATTAAAGTCGGACTCAACCTAAATTAACACATATTTCTACAGTGACTGTAAATCATATACATTATTTTACATAATTTGTATTGCAGCGACTGTAATTTGTATAGATTACGATTAACTATTGGATGGTTTAATAAAAGATGAAGTCAAATGTACAATTATAATAATTATTTGTATATTAATTAATTTATCTATTTTATACAAAATAAAAGATATCTGATAAACTGAACCAAAGATGCCAAAATGATAATCACAACATCTGGAATTGATTCGTGTAAATTCATTTCTTTGTCATGCTAAAACATATTCGAAAAATGGGCTTGAAGGTGAGGCCGTCTTTTGTTTGACCAAAGCGAGACCAGGTCAGCAACCTATAGTTTTCTCCAAAGCTGCAAGCATATTATAGCTAAACAGAAGATAAACGAAACCAAAGAGATGGTAAATAATTACATTACATATTCATAATTATAATTATGCGCGAGGCGGTTATTAATATAAATGACTCAGTGCTGTGCCACATTTCTATTTTATATTAATTGTCCACCCATAGAGGTAATTAAAATAAACTTCCGTGTTTTCTTGAGGCGATCGAGTGGATAATTCCCGGCATTCTTGTGAGCCGGCGGCCAACCCTGAACTGTCGCCAAAATATAATGGTGGTATCGAACCGACAAGCCAACAATGTAGATATAGATATAAACAATGCGGGCAAAGGCAATCCATATTGTTGAAAATCACGAGTCAATAGGTCTGGCCTTCATAAGTTGTTAGGCTCATTGCCAATCGCAAGTGAGCGATTTACAATTAACAAATACCCAGAGACCCGTTTATTAATAGATATGTTTATACATGGGCATCGCATCTGAATCTGAATCTGAATCTGATGATGAAAAGATGCTGATGCTGATGCTTCACTTCCATATGCATATTCATTTTGCTTCTAATGAAACACTTGTGGCTATTCGATCCACACACAAATACTGAATACTGATTTTCGAAAAAACAAAACAAAACTGGAACATATTTTCGAACATGCAAATGTGTGTAAATCTGATTCCAATCGAGATCGAACAGCGATATTTTTACACAGATCCACCAATCTATGTATGCGTAACATATTTATTTATGGAACTGGGTTGACCAGTTATGAGTTATTTTCGTATTTCTAAGACTAAAATAAGGCCATGAATGTACTTTGATACATATCGCATGGGTGTGCATATATTTTTAGACTACAAACATACATATTTACATCTGCGGGGACTTTGGTGTGCGTGCCGAAAGCTAATAAATTAATTGTTGCGTAAAATCGGATTACATATAGGGGGGCGAGAATGTAAGTAAACGTAAACCCTAGAACCTACGTGAGATATGTTTGTATGTTTATATGTTATATGTTTCGATTTTTCCCAAAACTTGCATGCTTAAGTACTTGGGAGTGCAATAAAATGAAGTACTTCAAAACAAAGAACTAAGAACAATAGAGGGGTATAAAAAGAATCCAAGTTACTATAACCAGGCTGTTACCATCTCAGAAATGAGACATCGGCGTGGATATAGCCGAGAGTACGAACACACACACAGCCGTGGGCATTGCATGATAAATAATGATATATTCAGAAAGTGCTGTTTTTATTACGCAAACTGTATTTTCTTAGTTGTGCCGTGTGCATCCACAAATATAGACTACCTGTGTACAGAATCTTTCCAGTCTAGTCCGCGGCATTTCCGACGAATAGGAACTACTTCACAGAGTACCTCCGAGGTATATATCCTAAGGATTAAATATATACATATTTATATATCGCGCCGATTAGCCGATTAGCCGATTGGGCGATTTACAACCACTGCAGTTTGCTAGTTTGCTATAACCAGAGTTTTTTGCCCCCCATTCAGACACACACGCACTCAGATCACAATGCCTTTTGTTCCCGTGGAAACCCCCAAGTGCCCCGCGTGCGGAAAGTCGGTCTATGCCGCCGAGGAGCGCGTTGCCGGAGGCTACAAATTCCACAAGACCTGCTTCAAGTGCAGTAAGTAGCTTGGTCCTTCGAGCCACACACACATTTGGTCCTTCGAACCGGATAGCCATCTAAACATCTCCCTTTTAGGCATGTGCAACAAGGCCCTGGACTCGACCAACTGCACGGAGCACGAGAAGGAGCTTTTCTGCAAAAACTGCCATGGTCGCAAATACGGTCCCAAGGGATACGGTTTCGGTGGTGGTGCCGGTTGCCTGTCCACGGACACTGGCGCCCACTTAAACAGAGAGTAAGGACTAAATTAAAAATATGTTTTGTATGAAAATTGTGTAAAATTCCTTGAATTAAATGTGTAGTTTTGCTTTCTATTAGAACCTGTATGTTTTCAATGTTTTCCATCCCCCACCACACCAAAAAAAAAAAAAAAAATTGAAAAACCTCCCCCACCTCCTGTATTTTTCTGGTTAGAAAAATCACCAGGGATATCCAGTTTCCCAATTCCCTGGAAAAATTCCACTAACATATACGATTGTTTAATGTTATACGAACACATTGTGGTCTTTGGTAAAAATAAGTTTTGTATCTTTGTTTACAACGCCCACAGACTGTGAATTGATAAAATAAAATGTACAATAAAACAAAGTATTTGTAAGCTTATTCATGTGTTATTTATAGGTACTATTCGTGTTCCTCTCTCGTCGCTGTCGCTGTCTATGTGGATCCGTTGTATTCCCCCATTTCGTTTTTTGTTGAGGCACAACGACCGACCTTTCCGTCTTCTGTTTTCTGTGTTCTGTGTTCTATGTTTTGTGTGACTAAGATGCGCCCCTAATGAATGTCCATTTCAAGCACTATAATTGAGGGAAGCATCTGAATCTTTTTAGATTTGTTGCCCCGAAGATTCCCCCAAAAGCACCCGACGGGTTGGGCTGTCCAAGGTGTGGCATATATGTCTATGCTGCCGAACAAATGCTGGCAAGAGGAAAGGTTAATTATCATGTCTAGGATCTTCGGTTTTGTTTGTTTTGGATAATATTTTATAATAATAATAGGGTTACCATCGAAGGTGCTTCAAGTGCGTTCAGTGCAACAAGACTCTAGACTCGACTCTTCACTGTGATGGTCCCGACAAGGACATTTACTGTAGAGGTATAGTTCGTATAGTCCCAGCGAATGTCGATCAGTCTTTTGAAATCATATTATTATAGGATGCTATGCTCAGAAGTTTGGTGCTAGGGGTTATGGGCACATTGGCATTTCGTCCTTGGGTCTGATGTCCGATATCAGAGATTGCGAATGGCAAAGGTAAGGTGAAAGTAAAATCAAATGGATAGACAAATTGCATGCAAGTTATTGATCATTTCAGCGATATGGCACCCAAAGCCTCGGCCATAAATGTGGAGCAAATTCAGGCGCCCATTGGCGAAGGATGTCCGCGATGTGGTGGCGTTGTTTTTGCCGCCGAACAGGTCCTTTCGAAGGGTAGACCCTGGCACAGGAAGTGCTACAAGTGTCGCGACTGCACCAAAACACTGGACTCCATCATCGCGTGCGATGGCCCGGACAACGAGGTGTACTGCAAAACTTGCTACGGCAAAAAGTGGGGACCCCATGGTTACGGATTCGCCTGTGGATCCAGCTTCCTGCAAACCGATGGCATTACGTGAGTAGTTATCTACTATATCTCAGATGTACAATATTTGATATGTGGACTAATTTTCATTTACAATATGATCATTAGTGACAAAGATATTTTAAGAGATATGAAAAGATTTTAAATGATATACTTCTAAAAATAAAAATCATAAACAATATGAACGATAAATTAATCCTAAAAAAATATCCTTAAAAAGTGTTTGTGTTTTAATCAGTTCAGTCCCAGAAGTCTGTGACAGTTCTGGAAATTGTATGTTTTGAAAACCGAAATCCCAGAATTTGTATAGTTTTTACTGCTTTTAGATCGATTTTTTTCAATGTTGTTTTTTGTTGGTATTTGGTTCAGAAGATTTTTAGAGGACCTTCTAGTATATTACCATTATATGGAGTGATCCAGAGTTTTCCTATCCTTCGTTCCTGGTTGGATAGGATTCATTTTTTAATTTTTTTGGATAATTTTTTTATTTGCAGTGAGGAGAACTTAGAATCCATGCGACCATTTGTGGCCCCGGATACCACTTCGATCATGGCTCCGGACGGAGAGGGATGTCCGCGATGTGGCGGTGCAGTTTTTGCCGCCGAGCTGCAGTTGTCCAAGGGGAAAATGTGGCATCGAAAGTGCTTCAACTGCGCCAGGTGCCATCGCCCACTGGACTCCGTGCTGGCCTGCGATGGTCCGGATGACAACATCTACTGCAAACTCTGCTACGCCAAGATGTACGGTCCCAAGGGATTCGGATACGGACACACTCCCACTCTGGTGTCCACCAACTACGAATACACGCCAAGTTGGTAAGTAATTATATGTTCTGGTTAAAGTTGGGTATATTAAGTTTAGATCTCGATAGCCAACCAATTTTCCTACATTTTTATAATAATTTGATCCCATGATTAACCAATTCTCTAATTTAGTTACTTACCTATAAGTTGTTTTAACTTTGATAATATATGACCACTTACTTATATAGTTATTTTCTATTATACGTACCGATTTAAGGCACAAACTTTGATGATGAATATATTTTAAATTATAATTTAAAATAGATTTAACTTATTGAAATAATCCGTTTGTTTTATTTAATATCTAAGATTTTAAGATGCGATGACTATAGTTTAATTATTAAGGAATAATTTGTGAACAACAAAATCTATATTACTTAACCCATTATAATTTTTTTTTATTATTACGTTATACTTTACAACTTATTTTCTTAAACCCAATCTTTTAATTAATCAAATATATAACGATTATTTTTTTTTCAGTTGGGGAACCATTGATCGCAACGGACAAAAATCGGAGAACGGATGTCCGCGGTGCGGATTCATGGTCTTTGCGGCGGAGCAAATGAAGAGCAAGAACAATGTATGGCACAAGTTGTGCTTCTACTGCTCGGAGTGCCGGAAGTATCTGGACTCGACCAACTTGAACGACGGACCCGATGGCAATATATACTGCCGATCGTGCTACGGCAAGTTCTACGGACCAAAGGGTGTTGGCTATGGCATCGGAGCTGGCACATTGACAATGGCTTAAAAATTTCGACCAAAAAAGCGCCTTCAAGCACTGACCTCAATATGCTTTCAGCTCCAAAAATTCATATATGGGGGGCTACTAGTGCTTGAACGCCCATATTTTTGAGGCTGACACAAGAGTATGTATTGTAGTATTGTAATTCCACAAAAGAACAACAAACAAAAATTGTATTTAGCTCCAAACACAACGACATTTAATTGAGAAAGTATAAAAGGCGAATGAGTTAGTGGTTAATGGATTAGTGGATTAGTTTAAGAGTTGTATATGCATCGAAAATAAGTATCGAAAAAAGGCATTCTGAGCTTCGAGTGAAACTTCATGGTGTGTAACTAGCGAAAACGAAATCATCTCCCAAATGTGTTTCTATGTATGGCAGTCGTAACAACAAACCGATATATCCTATGTACATGTTTCGAACGACCAATAAACGATCAAATGGTAAACTCTGTATGGATTGCTTCTGTTGTTTTCAAGTATTTATTAATATAAGTAACGGTAGGACAGATTACTGACAGAGGGTCCAAGCGGTATCTATTTGCAGGAGTTCTTTATTCAAAATATATTAACGATAATGCTAAGGGTACACAATAGTATGGGGAAGGAAGTGGAAGCGATCACTAAGGCGCTGCCCGAGAATGTGGAGTTGCAACATTCGGCGGAGAAGACGAGGATTTTGGGGTACAGTGATTTCCAAAAGTTAATCCGCTGATTGTTGAGCAAGTTGTCCGTGTTGAAGCTCTGGTCGATGAGAAGCACTGAGTCATTGTTGGGGGTCATGGCGTTCCACTTGACGTACACATTCGATTTCGTGGGATTCGAGGTCTTGGCGAAGTTCGCCCACAAGGTCATGATAATATCGGCGATTTTCTTGTCGGTCGACTGCCAATCCACGGCGTTGGTCATATAGGGATTGCCCCAGACGAACACCTGGTCGAAGTACTTGGGCACACTTATCCAACTGGGAAGATCCTGGAGCACCGATCGCGGTCGCATCCTGAACAGGTAGCTGTAGACTTGACTGTCGTTGCTCAGCAAATCGGCGAACGTTTGCATCGGCGTGATGTAGAACTTTTCGGTGTGGGCACTTATAATGTGTTTATTGGCCTTTTTCACATCCGTGTCCGAGTCGTTGGCGTACATAAAGTTAATAGCGTCGGATATCAACTCGTAGTTCGAGCACCACTCATAGTTTCGGACAAGTTTGTGCATGTCGTTGACGGCGATGTCGTTGTAGAAACCCTCCAGATCCGAAGCGCTTATATCCGTATCGAGGTTGTCCTTGAACAAAGTGAGCACCTCCTCCATGTCGGTTACGCCTATGATGACGGGCACACGGTGATAGCTCCCCTTCTTGAACAGAATCTCCGGCTGATTCTCGATGAAGGGATACGAGGTGTTGCTCAAGCCGAAGTCCACAACAGGACCCCAACTCACCGAGGGCAGGTTTTCCGAAAGCCTCTTTGCATCGAGTCTCTTGAGGCACTGAATAAACACCGAAGTTGGTTTTCGCGGACAGCCAAAAGTGCTGGATACCTGGTCCAGCGATCCCTCATACTCGTAGGGCATTTTGACGGGACTCAGGGGATTCCCCGACATTATGATGGCCTTGTGGAAGCCCCCCTTCGACCACTCACCCGACGTCATGTGCAGGGCCACACTCACAGCCCCCGCATCGTGTCCCATCAGGGTGATCCGATTGGAGTCGCCTCCGAAAAAGTTGATATTCTTCTTGACCCAATAAAGTGCCGCCGACTGGTCCATCAGGCCATAGTTTCCCTGGGCCTCGCCGTCGTCGGTGGTGAAAAATCCAAAGATATTCAGCCGATACGAAAAGGTCACCACAATCACCTTCTGCTTGAACACCAATTGAAAGGGTTCCACATCCGCCGGGCTGCCAGTGGAGAAATCGCCAGAGTGGATCCACACAACGACGGCATATCCATTGATCTCAGGCAATCCTGGGTATTACAAATTATTTGATTTAACACTAATATTCAATAAATGCAACCAACACCAGTTTTAAACTATTTTGAAATTCTAAAATTATGTAATGTTTTGCTTACAAATTATAATTTATATAAATACAGTCAAGCTTCTACAAATCGAAATTCTATTCACAACCAATACATTTTTAATAAACCTCAACACAAAGATTTTATTACCCTTTTTACTATCAATAAAACTAGGTCGACTTTTTAACTGGTTTCTTAAAAATCATGAAGTTATACCAAGTATTAAAAGTTAATTTCGCAGAAGTTTCTTTTAAAGCACAATTAATTTTCTTGATAAAAAAAGTTTTTATCAAAAAAAAATCGTTTATATTTTTTTCTATTTTCCAAAAATCTATACCACTAACTACGATATCTTTAAACACCTACCATCAGGTACAAAAACGTTTAGATACAAGCAGTTCTCCTCGTATTTTCTGCCACCATCCTCGGAATTCGAATCGGAAGATATGATTTTTAGGATTTGTTCGGTTTCTTTGCCCACAGAAGGCATGGGGTTCTGCCAACAGTCCGGTTGAAAAACGGTCGCGTTGAAAATCCCCTTCCACGGTGTTAGTTCGATATCCGGAGGTTGGAATCTCCTGGCATGTGCGTACCGAATGCCAAGGTATGCTTTAATATTCTGCGTTCGGAACATTTTCAAATACGTTCCGGATATAACTCCGTTGCCCGGAATGTGTATAAAGGGCGCGTCCACACATTGCACACGAATTAAACAATAATTACTGACTAGGTGAAAGAACAATGCCAAATAAGCAAGGAAGTTCCTTTTGCAATCCATAATTCGTCCGTTTCGTTCACATCTTTCTGTGTTTTGAACTCAGGCGACACTGTTCGCAATCTTTCGAGGCACGCGAGCTTCCGGTTGCCATGGCGAAAATACACAAAAATATTGTTGCCTTGGATTTTGTAACTATGGCAGTCATCCATCTCCTTTACTTGAGGTTGTTTTTATTTATTTAGCCTACGTCACCATCGGAATGCTGTTAACCCCCTATGGCCCCATTTTCGAAAGAAAAGAATAACCTACATTTTAGACTCTTTAATGTAACAAGTTTTGCAAGTCTGATTTTTCTTTATTGCAATATTTTTTTTAAATACATAAAATAATGTTTTTTTTTTTTATAATGTATTGGGATTAAATAAAAATGTAGACTTCGATAATATAACAAGTTTGAAAGACTAATAATCTCTTCTTTTTTTAATAAATACATAAAACTATTTTTTTAGGGTCTCCTTTTTAATTTTTTTTTAATAAACACATAAAAGTATTTTTTTAGGGTTTCCATTATTGAATTCGGCTTCAAAATTATAAGCCGCGAATTCTTCAGCTCTATGCGGCCAACCACATTTTGGAGTACTGTAAGTATTGTAAAATTGTATTTATGGATTGTTTGGTTGGCACTGTTTAAAATTTAGATATAATTGGCAACTATATAAAACTATATATAAAATTGTACTCTGTAGATCAACTGTCATTTATTTGGTATAACTGACAAACTCCTTATAAACAATAGTACTTCTCGAAATTTTTTAAAATTCCCCTTTAAGATCGAAAATGTCTCCTGAACCAAATAAGCCCGACAAACAGTCGAAAAAGGAGCCTGCAGTTTTGAATGAAAACATTATCACCACGGACAAATGTCTGGCGGACTTTTGCATGAAGGGCGGAAGTGGTTTGATTATTGGCAGCGTTTTCACCTTGTTCTTCACGCGCCCACAAACCTATCCGATTTGGTTGGGGCTCGGATTTGGAATGGGCATGGCCTACGACTGTTGCCAGGCCCGTTGGAGTGAACAAAAATATTCAAATGATTTAAGCTTCCATAAACGTAGCCCCTCTGGAAATAGGTTTTAATAAAAGTGATTCTACTTGAGACTGAACAAAATTGATTTTACTTCTGATAAATAAAAAAATTTAATTCATAATTCAAATAAAAAATATTACAATTAAACAGAATAACAATAAAAAAGATAAAAAATATATATATGAGAAAGAAGGCTTCATCGACAAGCCAAAGTTTGGATAACCTACCAACTATAACGACTAAATATCTAGAATAAATTTAATAAATAAATCTTTTCTAAAGCGTTAAATATTATAATTGGTTTTATAAAATTGAAAACTGTTTTTATGAACACATTAATTTTATATATTTATATTTTATAATATACATTACGAGTAATATTCGTGTAGTTAAAAAACAAAGAAGTTATATCTGCTTTCAAATTATTTTAATAGGTTTTTGAGTTTTCCTATATATAAAAAAAAAAATACTTTTGAAAAAAAATCTATTAAATTGAGAAACACTGCCTAAACTGCATTGCTGAACTTCGAATACCCTCAATAGTGTTTGAAACATATATAGGTACTAAGTTACAAATCTTACATACGTTTTTCCAAAAATGGGATTTTTTAAAGGCGTTCCCTCGATCGGTTGGCGAAAGAAACATTTTCAGATTTGCCGGAATGAGCGAGAAATCGCTCTTTGGCCATTGAAAGTTTACATATTCCCACGGCGTATCGAGACGGAAAAGCAAGAGTGGCAAACTGGTTTTTGGCTGCGATCGAGCCACCCTACTGCTTCGGCCAACCACAATTAACGATGTTGACGTTCTCTTCGAGGCGCATGTGCGCATGTGTGCAGGCCATGGTAACTTTGGATTCGGATTCGGATTCGGAGTCACTTCAGCTCTATGCTTCGCATCGGACCCACGGATATCTTTTTGTTACAGTTTCATAATTGTTGTCTTGGCCAGCAGAGTGTTTTAATGATTTCGCTCGGAATATGTTTTAATCAGATCAGTGCATTGTCGCTTCGCATTACCACCTGAAATTGTGTTGAGGAAAAAAATGCATTTTTAAGTGTATGTACATATGTGGCATGTTAGTGGCGAACATAAAAAATATGAGTTACCATTGAAAACCCACACCCCAAAACGAAGTGTAAGTGATTTATCCCGTCGCAGAAAAGAAACTGAATGTATAATATTATCTTTTGTGTGGGGACTTTGAGTCTGAAAAACTGGAAGCCTTTCTCTATCGAATGAATGTGTTTCTCAATGACCTAATGTTTCATTGTCTTTGTGCTTAAAAGTGTGCGTGTTGTGCATTAGTTGAATGGTGGTTACATACAGTGGGTGCGAAAATTACTCGCACTCTATTACTCTGTTGCTAGTTTCAATGTTTTCCAAAAGTGATCCGACCAGTTCTGGGAGCCAAAGCATTTTGCACAGTGCCTTTGAAATACCAAAGTGATCTACCGCTTGAAAAGATCGAAAGATTACATAGATGTATGCGTTTTGTGATTATGGGTCACCCTACCCAGTTTTAACCCATTCAATGCCAAAATATAGCGGTCGATGAATAAACTTAACGATACACGAGTCCGGTTGTCAGCAAATTGGCTCAAACCTAAGAAATTGAGTAACTAATGATCAATCACAACTCGGGCCATATGAAACCTAAACAAAGTTAACCGTATTGCATGAGTACATAAAACTTTACATAACAGACCTACTTGCATAGATAATTCACTCAATGGACAACGCTCACTTTTAAATCCCACATGCTGGCAGAAAATCATGCATAGCAACCAGTGTCACAGTGGCCAATTAAAAGGTTTATGGCACTTTAATTAGACCCTACGCAATGGAGTGTAATAAAAAATAATCGTAATAATCAGTTAGGGTCTCCAGTTTACGTTTTTGGTCATCCACTTAATACATTTTATTGATAAACTGTTAATAAGTAGCTACGTTTATTTATTCGAAATTTTTAAACCGTTTCGGGTGAAAGCTTTTAACTACCAGTTAACCGTTTATAATTTGGTGATAATAATTTTACTTTCTTAGCTTTACAGGTATTATTAAATTTTCCTAAGCTTTGACCTGTACCATTTTACAAATATGTTGCGCTATCTGCTCATTCTGTGCGCCTTAAAAAGCGGTAAGTTTATTGACCCATAGTTTTCCAAATATAATTTATAGCACTACCATTATAAGCATGTTTCATTTGATTAATATACAAAATTGCTAACGAAAACAAAAACAAAACAGTTTAGTAAAATAGGTTAAACAAAATTAGTTTATAATTTGAAATCTTCAAGGCTTTTGTGGCCCTGATGCAATATTTTTTGAGTAATTACTCTTACCAATCAAAACGGTTTCTTAAAAAACCGGTTTTTGAAAATAAAAACTTTGTTTCTGTCTTTATCTTAAGGCTTATATTTTCTAATGCTTTTTTTAAGCTTAAATTAATTTTTAGTTCACTTACATGTGTATATTTTAAAGTTGGAATGCCAAATAAATTAATCAAAATAATGTTGTCTATTTAAGCATTAATAGGATTTTTGTCATTCAAATATTTAATGCATTAATTAATATATTCAAGCAAAACAAAATAGTAAAATAGGTTAAACCAAATTTGATTATGATTTTAAATTTTCAAGGCTTTTGTGGCCCTAATGCAATATTTATAGAGTTATTATGCCTACCAATTAAATAAAATATATACCTAGTTGTATTTTTTTTGAAGCTAATATTTTCTAATGCTTCTCATTTTTCGAAAACTTAAATAACATTTTCTTTTAAAATTGCACAAGCATATTTTATATATATGTAAGTGAGTACTTTAAAGTAAGAAAACCAAATAAATTAAATAAATATTTTATATATATGTAAGTGAGTACTTTAAAGTAAGAAAACCAAATAAATTAAACAAAATAATGTTGTCACTTACATATTTAATGAATTGATTTACTTATCCCAAAATAAAATCAAAGTAAATAATAAAAATAATACAAATTTTATCTAGCTACATGCGGTGATACTGAGTTACTAACTCAAACTGTTTATGGATTTTTGGATTTTACAACTACCATTGGGAATACTGTTATGGTGTTCTCGCCCCAAAGCTCACCAGCCTTTGGTAAGTAAATTTCTGTAAATCAACATAAGTGTATAATTGATTCTTTTAATATACGTAAATAATTTGGTTATATGTGTTTGTTTTTTTTTTTAGAACTAAAATCCAACAATACTCATGAGATAATAAATATAATAGAAACTAAACCGAAAGTAACTAAAAAAGAAAAAGAAAAGGTCGGAATTAAGCCAACGCCCCTAATTGTGACTCATTCGGTTGTTAACGTCGAAACTGAAACATCCCAGATAGAATCTTACAATATAAGTCTCTCGAACTCACCGATCCAAACTCTTTTAAATACCCCCGAATACGATTTACTCTCTCGTCAACCCGAACAGTTTGCCGAAGAAACCTATCGTGTGGTTAATTTTAAATCCAAGAACGAAGCCGACCGGCAGAGGATCTATCAATCCAAGAAAGAACCCATTCATGGGTATCAAACGAGATCAAGTCAAGAATTTAAGAGCATTGTAACGGCCACCAAGGAATCGGGCAAATTCTCTAAGGTCTCTCAGGTTCATCCTGTGTCGAGTGTTGAGAAAAAGAGTAAGCCCCGACAGACGCGTATAAACAAGCCAGTTACGGCCTCGATTCAACCGAGTAGAACTCTGAAGGAGTCGAGTTTTCAGACTCAGTTATCCAGCAAACCGCCACGCAAAAGCCAGCAAAGTAGTCGCGACAACAGGGGATCATCAAGTACCAGAAAGTCTTCTCGGCCCAAGGGAAAAAGGTAAATCCATTGTGTACTTCAGAGATACTAGCTAGTGATAATCAACAATACTTTTCCCATTTAAATAAATATGGTGCTTCATGCTAACTTTAATTTCAGGAGAAATAAGCACACCCAAAGTTCCAAACTGGCAATAACTCCGTCGGTAACAGAAACTACCTCTCGTCACTCATATCGGACGAAAGCAAATGCAAATGCTGTACAGGAAGAGCCAGTATCGGTTGTTAGCCCTAATTCATTTAAGCTGAATAGACGTCCTGGAAGATGGCAGTACAAGTCCTCACCGAAGCCCAAAGTTAACATTAGGAAGAACGCTAGCCCCAATGTACCCAGCCCCATTCAAAATGAAACGGCTCCAAATGATGAGACTCCTGTGGAAATCATTACTAATCAGGCTCTTAACAATGGAAGAGATCTGGAGGCTTCCGGTTCCCAAAATGGTCCTGTGGCGAATAATAACAATGATGATCCCAACTCTAAATACTTTATACAAACACTGAACGTTGAAATATCGACACCACAACCTTTCATTGATACCTATTATGAAATTGCAACTATTAAAACGCCTTTTATATTCCAGGTAATTATTTTGTTCCAATTTTTATACATAATATAAGACTATTAAAATATCATTTTTGTTTTCAGGCCGGAGTGGTTAAGAAAACGCGTTTTTTGACCGTTACATCAACAATAGAGAAAGTGATTGTAGAGGAGCACACTAAAGAATACTCTGAAGATGATGGTCCTTTGACCGAGAATATTTTAGAGGCCACAGCCAGCACCGAGGATAAATCTTTGGCGGGTAGTGTTACGACATTGAAACCCATTTATCTGGGAGAGGAAACGGAAACTCCCAGCTTGGAGACAATAACAGAATCCTTTTCCATAACTCAAACTAAGCTGAAAACTCAGATCCTGCCTATAATATTTGAAAAGCGAAATGAAACGATCCAAGTAACGCTGGTGCAGACATATGACTACACCAGCCTAATTACCGTCACGCAGACAATATCGCCATTGAGCGAAGACTTTTCCCCATCGAAGAACTTTAAGGACTTTGAGGGAAGTTTGGACGAGGCTGGATCGGAAATAAATTTGGACCTTGAGTTCGGCGATGAAGACAATACAGGCAAATTTGACGCCAAAATAAAGCCGAAAATAAAGCCGGACGTTAAGAACAACGTAAGCAACCCATTAATCCCGGAAACTATTAGCTTCCCAGACAGCCTGCAAAACAACTTGATAACTTCAACGCGTCCTGTCATAAAACTGGAAACAATATGGGAGTCCCATGTGGTTCCCCTTGTTAGAGGAACCGAAACCATCATGAGAACGCTTTCAAAGTCTGTTGGCGTTGTTGAAAAAACAGAATACGTAACGGAAGTTGCTACAATTCCCATGCCGCTTCCATCAATTCCATCATCACAATATCCGTTCTCAATTAACCCATTCAATCCGTTTAACCCATTACTGCCCATTCCCCCGCAGCAGCTTATTACATCCACTGAAATTCAGCAGTCCATGGTAACGGAAACGAGTTCGAAAGTTTTGAAACTGACTTTTGGCGCGCGAACTGCTTACACCACAATATTTTCCACTTCCGTCGTTCCAACAGCTGTCACACGATTAATAACCGCCACCATTCCAGGCCAGCCCGGCCAATCTTTCCCCAACTACTATCCGCCACCATACAATCCCTTTGCCTATGTTGGCTAATTATTAAATTCATCGATGTACTAAGTGCGAGCACCCAAACCTATTACTTCATCTGCTCTTATTAGGAGTCCTGTATTATAATTAAGTTCATGTGCAAATATCGAAAGGCGGTGATATAAAAACAATAGATTTTATTAGATTGTATATGCACTTTGTCGCAAAAGTTGTTAATGTAAATAATAAAATTAAGTCTAAATTAAGATTTCTACGAATTTTTTGGATTATTATCAGATAAGCAAAACATGGTTGTAGTTGCGTTTAACACTGTTAATAAAATTTTTACCCTTTTATTCCTGGAATTGATATATCTCTATACTTTTAATTGGTTATCGCTTTGATAAATTCAAGCAATTCACATATGTTTTTATATCTAGCAGGGGAACGATTGAGAATGATATATTTTTTTGAGTTCCACTCCATCGTTTCAATCGAATTGTCGACAAGCGTGGCCACAAGTCTGGAGTCAGTTGAAAATTAACTAACTATTTTTAAAATTTTATAAACTGCCATGATGCAATTCAAGTAAGCTACATTTTGCTGCATATTACCTTTATAACAATGAAAAATCAACCTCAACGCCGATAACTCTTACCACTATCGATTGCCCTGGCGCATGCCGCTTTACACATCACTAGGGCTTTTGCGGCATTTACACATCTCTAGACATTGGAAAAAAATAAAATCGTAGGAGTTTTTATGTGCTTGCGAAGAAGTGTAAGTAATTGCTAATTTTGGGCTTATTGCTTGCCGGTAGTAAGCATTACGTGTGATGTGTGTGGCCTAGTCTTCGTAAACGTGGCTTAAAGCTAGTTTAAAAACGAACTAGCGTTTATTTTTGGTGAAAAGCTATGTGTACATATGTATGTTTTCGCGTGTGTGTTTTGTGCACATGCAGTTTTATGCTGGCAACATAATTACCAAATAAATGCAACGCGTCATGCTGTTGGCAAAAAGTGCACTAGCTTAAACAATTGTGTGAACATATGATAAACATATCTGCGGCTTAAACTTGCAATTGTACGATTTCACATATGTACATATGTATATCCTTATGTTGGCATAATTGTGCGTGTATCAAAATAAAGTGAATGTAATTTGGTGATCTATTTGTTTTGGCTATATTGGTAAAGGGCCAATGAGTTTCTATTTATACCCCAAGTTGGCTAAAATGCATATAGAAAAGATTTGCATACGCACTTTCACGTGTAGCTCATCTTATTTGAGACCGATTTATATGGGTGGTCCAAAGCTTTTGGATTTACATCTTCTAAAACCATTTTTTTTTATTGGTTTCCAACGATACAATTTCATCTTAATTTTGTAAAAATCAAGAACATGCTTTAGGATGCTTCATGGCTTTAATTTTAGTCTGGGTCGGGGCACGAAACCGTGTCAAGCAGGTTTTTAGAGATTGCAGCAACGCCGTCACACGTTTTCAGCTGTTTATTTAAGCCCTCCGTTATGTAAACGACTTTATCTGTTTGATTATTAAGATATTTATGAAATAAATTCTCTTCCTCACATGTGTTGACTCTGATAACCGAATTGCCTTGAACGCTTTAAGATAATCAAGCATTAATCTCATCTCCGCAGGTTTCTACTGTATTTAACTATGTCGGTACACTATAAATTCAAGAGTACCCTCAATTTTGATACAATAACATTTGATGGACTTCACATTTCCGTTGGGGACTTGAAAAGAGAGATTGTGCAGCAGAAGCGATTGGGAAAAATAATCGACTTTGATCTTCAAATCACAAATGCGCAGACTAAAGAAGGTTTGTATACCATAAATCTACAATTATTTCCCTCTAACATGAAGCCTATGCCCCGCAGAGTACAAGGACGATGGAGTGCTTATCCCCAAAAACACTACGCTGATCATATCGCGCATACCCATTGCCCATCCCACGAAGAAGGGCTGGGAGCCACCGGCATCGGAAAATGCCTTTTCAGCGGCGCCAGCCAAACAGGACAACTTCAACATGGACCTGTCCAAAATGCAAGGCAGCGAGGAGGACAAAATCCAAGCCATGATGATGCAAAGCACGGTTGACTATGATCCCAAGACGTAAGTGTTTCCAAATTCTGAAGAATCACCCATTTCTAATGCTTAATCTGTGCAGGTACCATCGTATCAAAGGGCAATCTCAAGTGGGCGAAGTTCCGGCATCTTATCGATGCAACAAATGCAAGAAGAGCGGTCACTGGATCAAAAACTGTCCCTTTATTTTGGGAAAGGACCAGCAAGAGGTCAAAAGAAACACGGGGATTCCGCGCTCTTTTAGGGACAAACCAGATGCAGCAGAGAATGAGTCCGCCGATTTTGTGCTGCCTGCAGTGCAAAGCCAGGAGATTCCGGAGGATTTAATATGCGGCATATGCCGTGATATATTCGTCGATGCCGTCATGATACCCTGCTGCGGAAGTTCCTTTTGCGACGACTGTGTGCGCACTTCGCTATTGGAGTCCGAGGACAGCGAGTGTCCCGATTGCAAGGAGAAAAACTGCTCACCGGGCTCTTTGATTCCTAATCGGTTTTTAAGGAACTCTGTGAACGCCTTTAAAAACGAGACTGGTTACAAAATTAGTGCAGTTAAATCAGGTAAGATAATGCCAAATTAGTCATCACAAAAGGAAAATAATAATCCATCTTTTGTTAGCCGCAGTAAAAAATGAGGATAAACCACTGGTTGAGAAAGAAGTTGAGGAAAAGCCGGTGGAGGAGGAGGAAAAAGAAGAGACCGCAGAGTTGAAAACTGAAAAGCAAGAAGAAACAGAAACAGAAACTAATGGGAACAAGGCGCCGAAATCGGAGTCTCCGGAACCTCCTCCGACGGTGGAACCGTCACAAAAGGAGAAAGATAAATACGATTCAGACTATGAGGATAATATAACCATCAAAATGCCCCAACCTACTGCTGATTCAACATCAGTGCCTAGCAAGGTGAGAAGTCACTATTAGCCTTTATGCGTTTTATTAAAGTGTTTATTTTTTGGTTTCAGAGATCTCCCACTTATTCCCACAAGTCGAGTGAATCCTCGCACCGACGAGAGAGGTCGGAGTACACTTCGGACCACGATCACAAGCACCACCGTCCATCGAAATCGGAGTCTGGCCACAAAGAACGCAGTCTGCTGCCCACGCCCATTGGCACTGTGCCCAGCTACCAAGGGCACATGATGAGCGGCGAATCGGAGGACGCTCGCCGCTCGAGTGCTTATAAGCCGCAGTACATGCAAATGCAACGGGGTCCACCACCGATGCACATGATGAGCCACCATATGCCGGCCTACAACAACGGGTATAACAACATGGGACAGAGGCCGCCCCTAAGGTAGGTTTCTCCCTTTCCAACCCTCCGGATCCCGCCACCAAGTGGATCGAGTATCGACAAGCCGCTGGAGTTCCGAGGCTCTAAACGAATCCTGCCTGATCTCAATACATTTAAGTGCCAACTGAGGCCACAAAACACCTAGTTAAGAGTATTTTAAGCTCTGGGCTCGCCAGCCTTTATGCTTTGTTGAATGTTGGTTAATTTTAGTACTTTTGATTAAAACAGTATTGCTTACAATCAACGTTAAGCTTTTTGAATTGTAATTAACTTCTGAAATTGCAGCTATGTGCCGTATCAAAACCAATCCGTACATCCCATGCGTACGCCTTACGGATCTGCAGGCGGAAGTATGAATATGAATATGTCACAACCATTTCAGTCCCCAAATTTAGCCTCGATCTATCAAGGGGTAGCGGCCAAGGTCGGCTCCGGGTGAGTGTGGCATTGGCCATTGCCTAATAATAGGGTAAATAACGCATATAAATGTTGCAGTTTAATTGACGACCCACTGGAGGCCTTCAATCGCATCATGAAGGAGAAGGAACGCAAGAAGGTGGACCGATTTCGCGGTGGCGATCATCACAGGTCGAGATCGCCGGACAGACAGAGGCACCGCTTCAAATCCCCCATGTACGAAAAGGATGGGCCCCGGGATAATCTGAAGGACAAGAGGCCGCGATCACGGGAAAGAAAACGAGAATATAGCTATGAACGTCATATGCGTCATCCTCGTTCTAGTCGCCAGGCCAACGATGGCTCCAAATCACCAGGTGGCAGGATCAAGAGGTACTTTTTGCTTTTATAGCTTTAAAAATTATTTTTTTTTTAATGATTTGCTGTTTTTTGCAGATCTGGACATCGTCGCTCTGCGTCACCAAAGCCGGCGTATAAGAGTGATTACAGGGACAAGCCTTATAGCAAACCGTTTGCACCCAAACCAGAGCCAGTTGAGCCTCCGCCACCCGGATTTGAGCCATTGCAGCTGGCGATGGATGACGATGGCTACAAGAACAAGCATCTGGCTAGCCTAGAAGCATCACATGGCAGTGGCAGCGGCAGTGGCAGTGGCAGCAAAGGCGGAAGCAGCAAGAAGAACGAGGAGGAACGCCGGCACGAAGAGATGCCGCGCAAAAGGCACAGGTCGCGCAGCAAGAGCAAGGAATCCAAGCCAGTCGACAGTAGCTATAGGAGCCTAACGCCGCCGGCGAAGATCACTACTCCGAAAATGACTTCTGCCCAGTTGCGTGAACGCGAGTGCACACCGAAAACGCCGGAACGGGCCCACGATGAGTATTTGCCAGCGAAGGCAAGAGTGAATGCCGCCCAGTCCGACATGGACGACTCGCAACTGGGACCCAATGTGGGCAAGGAGAACAAGGTGAAGAGTCCGTCGTCGAAGGAGCGCAAGAAGAAAAAGAAGGACAAGGCTGAACGCAAGAAGAGCAAGAAGGACAAGCGGGCCAAAAAGGAGAAGGGGGAGCGTCAGAAGAAGAGCTCGTCGATAAACCGATCCGATTCGGATATTAACAACACCTCGTTGGTAAATGAGACAACCTATAAGATCCTATTATCCCCCAGGGTCAGTCCCAACTTCGATATCGAATCGTCTGCAATTTCTCCCGCTCGCAACGCTACCGAAAACCTTAATCCTAAAAAGAGGGATGCATCCCTGAATTCGGATGTGGCCACCGACGATAATCTCGGTTCGAGAAGCAAGCGCAGCGAGGCCAATTCTGTCAATCTATCCAAATGGGAGCTGGAGGAGAATAGCACAAGTTTGGAGGACTCTTCCAAAAAGTCTGGCAATCTATTGGACGACCAGTCCGAGATCACTTCCGATGTCCTGCGCAAGGCTGAAAACGCCATATTTGCCAAGGCTATAAACGCGATTAGGCCGGTTGAATTTCAAGTCATCATCAATTCCAAGGGCAACAGCAAGGACCGTTCTGTAATCAGGAACGACAAGGAGCGCTCGCCCACGCCCAAGCGTAACAGCAGCAGGTCGGTGAAGGAGAGGCTGGGCAACAAGGTTCCCAGCGAGCGCAGCCGTTCGCCGGACAAGTCGCGTTCCAGACGAAGGGAGGCGGCCGGCAAGAGCTCCGACGACGATTCGCATCGTGGCCGATCGGATCGTCATGGCAGCCGGAAAAGGGAGAGCCGATCCTCACGCGACCGGACAGCGGCGTCCGAAAAAAGGCAGGAGCGTTCGTATAAGCGGAACACGCCCGAGGACGACAGGCAGAGGCGGCCGTACAAGGAGCGTTCCGACCCCAAGCTCGCAAAATATGATCAAATCAATAGCGACGACTCGGATCGAAGGGGGGCCAGAAACCATAAATCCGGCGACGGCCGAGTGGTGTCCTCTGTAACAGCGGTGGCAGCTGCCCTCAAGCCCTGTCGTCCGGACAATCCGTTCAGGAAGATCGTCGACAACAGCTCGTCGAGCAGCAGTTTAGTTGTAAAATATGATAATACGATACAAAACGAGGCAGCGGCCTCGTCGGACAACAGCATGGAGCACAGGAAGCAAAAGGATAAGAAACTTAAGAAACATGCTAAATATTCGTCAACCGAATCGTTGAGAAGCGAGAAACGCAAGGATCTGAAGAGCAAAAAGAAGAGCAAGATTTTGAAAAAGAAGAAAAAATCAAAGAAGTAGGTAACGATAGGCTATGGAATAAGAAATATAAATATATATATATTATTATTGAAGATTTCTGTGTACAAATCAAAGATTTTTAATGTATGTATTCAACATGCAACTAAGTATACAAATAAAACAGAACTACTCAAGGACATTTGTTTACTACTTTATTAATTTGCCTTGTAGAAATAAGCAAATTCAGAGGCTTTCGATTGATATTCGAGAAATTAAATATGTTTATTACAAACAGTTATCTTAAAAAATCGAGTAAATTACATATGCAGAGATTTGACTGAAATTAATCATTATTGCTTAAGCCATCCATAAAGGACGATGCCATTGGACTGGGGGTTCTAGAGATTATATTATCATTGCCATAGTCATCGGAGATTGCATCCACTGAAAGTACAGAAAATTGCAAAATTCAATTACATTATTTTAACTCAAAATCACACAAATATGTAAAGCTGCTTGCCTTGTTCTAGAAAATTAGATTTTCTAGTTTGGGTTATGGAACTCAGCGAATGTATGATGGGACTGCAGGCCTGATCGGCTGTTTCGAGCGTTGTGGGTAAGTCTAAGAGTCGTTGATTTTGAATACCATCCCCCGGGCCCATGTGAGAGATGTGGTTGAAATTTGTCGGCGCTGATATCATCTTTGATCTACGATCACTGCAGAAGAATAGAATGACGTTAGGCATTGCTTGCGCCGATTCGGTAACTTATTCCCAACCTTTTGATGGTTTTATTAATCTCTCTAATGGAAAATCTCCGCTTAATGCTCGGCAGTCCTTTTCGATTTCCCTCCCGATATTGCAGTTGGCCCTCTGAAAAGAACGAATTTTCATTTGTATTATCAAATTATATCAGTAAACACAACCATCACCGACTTACTTGTGTGAATATTGGACAGGTAAACAATCAAGGGGGTGTCATTGACGGAGGCCAAGACCACATTTCCCAGATTATTTAGGGGCAGCGATTGTTTCAGACCAATCGACTGCACCCATTCAGCGGTCTGAGTGTTGAAGATATCCAAATGTGTGTCCGAGAACACCAGCAAATGGCCATCGCAAAAGGCTGTTAAAAGCATCCACAAAACAATTATACAAAACGAGTCATTAGAAATTTATTCCCCTACTCACTTATGTACGTTGGAAAGGCCGGATACATTATTTCCCTGTCCCGAGACTTTCGACCCTGCAGGTCCACGTAAATGGCCAGGGTTTGGAAGACCAGTAAGTACTCGCCAAAGTTACCGCCACTTGGGCACAGAATTTCAATAACCCGGACCGCATCCACTCCGGAATAGTTCAAAAATGCACACAACTGGTTTTCCGGGTGCACCAAAGCTATTGAAAAATACCAAAAAGTTGTGAAAAAAGAAAACTTCACGCAAATCTATCATTACTCACACATTGCAGTGGCTTCTCCACGCAGGAAGTAGGCGGTGAATCCACTTTGGTGAGCCACAACCAATCGCATATCGGACAGGATCTGCAGATGCTGGGCCATGTAGCCGATGGTGAATTCGCAAGTCTTCTGGTGCCTTGTGCGCGTTCTGTTTATCTCGTAGACTACGATTTGTGTGTGGTTATTGGGCCGCTTCAGCGCGATAATAAATGAGTAGACGATGTTGGGGAAACGGCGAATGATTCCAGTGCAAGCAGATATGCAGTTCTTCGACTCAATCACTTTGATCCACTCGACATCGCTAGCCTCTAATGCCCTGATGGGCAGCAAACGCAAATTACGTTGCTTTCCGCACAGAATAACGAGAATCTGCTCCTCTTCAATGTACCATAGCTGGAGAATCTTCTTGCTTTCGCCAATACGAGCGATTTCTGGAAGCATACGGAAGCAATTAGCGTTTTGTCCTCCCGCAAAAAATCGAATTACCTACCGTACTGATCGAGATTAATGTAGAACAAGCCATCTTCTGTCCCCAACAATATTTGATTTGGATATATGATGACGGAACACAAGGCGTTGCGTATTAGAGATAGGGTATTGTCCAGAATTTCGTTAACTTTAAATATAGCAGTATTTGGTAAGCTGTTTCGTTTCAATATTCGATGCAGTTCGCCCAGGGCAATGACCCACTTGGACTTCTCCGACTCGTTGTCGGCCAGCATAAGGGTGTTCAGCGACAGTCCGCCATCAATGAGGGCGGTTTTAATCTGAAAGGCAGAGGGATTAGTGCTTTGACTCCAGAGATATTCCGAGATAACCCTTTAAGTACCTTGAAAATACATGGCACATCTTTCTTGGCGGCATGAATGACATCGCTTTCGCGCACACTGCCCACACAGAACTCCGGATCCCGCATGTCCAGCACTTGGGACACACTCACGCTGGGCAAGGCACATCGATCCGGCGAGATGTCGTAGAGAAAGAGCTTGAAGTCGCAAACGACGACGAACTGCCTGATCCAGCCGCGTTTGATCACGCCCGATTTGGGTACCTTCACGTAGCCCTCGTAGGCGGTGCCAATGCCTCGGGTGGGATCGATGCCCAGCGGCCGCTTCGTTTGGTCCATGGGCACGGGACAGGTGGTGGGCACCTTCTGGCAGCAGATCGTGTGGCAGGCGAAGCCGCAGATCTCGCAGACGACTCCCTGCCGCGTGAGTCCCACCATCAGCGAGGTGCAGTGGTTGCACTTCGTGGGGCTGCTGAAGGTTCGCACCAGGAACTGGTGGATCGCCGTATTGCTGCTGGCCACTTTCTTCTGAGATTCCTTCACCAGCAGATCGCTCTCATCGCCGCGGGACAGATCGCTGGCCGAGATCTCCTTGAGGGCCGAGTTCTCCTTGCTGCCTTTGCCCGCATACTTGGGCTCGTAGTTGAAGAGCATGCCCGAATTGCCGGACTGGAAGAAGTTGGGAGTGCCGATGAAATTGTCGCCGGACTCGTTGCCAAAGCTTTCGCCCGAGTCTATGGTCTCCGAGTTCTTGGACATGTCGCGGAAGAAGGCGCTGCTCAGGCCATGATGAGTGGATTTGTTGAGGAACGACTCGGAGTACTCCAGGCCGCCCTTCTGCAAGTCCCGCAGTTCGGTCTCCTTCTTCTGGAAGTCGTGCAGTATGGAGTCGTAGCGCTTCTTGTAGTCCCGCACCTCCTTCTGCGTGGATATCAGATCCGATCGGGTTTGGCTCAGCTCATCCGAGATCATGGCCTTGGCCTGGATCTCCCTTTGCAGTGCACTCTGCAGGTTGAGCAGCTCCATCTTGTCCAGCTTCTGGGAGCGGCGATTGCGCCAGTTCTTGTTGTCCACGCCGTTGTTGTTGAAGGTGCCCACATGCTTCAGATACTCCAGCTCCTCGGTCATTTTGGTGGCCAGGGCCTGCAGGTAGCCTCGAGCATCCTTCTCGTCGGACACCCATTGGATGATCTCCGCCATTTGGCGCTCCCACAGGGTGATGGCCTCCCGCTTCATTCGCAGCTCCTTGAAGATCTCGTCGTCCTCGGCCTGCAGTTCCTTCAGGCTCTTCGCCTTGAGACTCACCTCTGAGCTCAGCCTCTGCTTCTCCTCGAACCACGAGGTCTTCTCCAAGTCGTGTTGCTTCTTCAGCTCCAGGAGCGTGTCGGCCGAATCGGTAATCGATTCCAATTGGGTGTACTTCAGTCTGTCCTGCGTCTGCTGCAACTCCTTCGTGAGCTCCAGGTTGGAGTTCTCCAACTCGGCGAACTGCTCGCGCAGCGCCTCCAACTCCATGTTGTGACGCGTCTGCTGGTGACTTAGCTTTTCGGAGAACTGCAGCTCCAGTCTTTCGATCTCGTACGACGACATCTCCGAGGAAATGCTGAGCGGCAGCGTGGTCTCCACACTGGAGGAGCCCTTGCGCAGCTCCAGCTGCAGCTGCCGGCAGCAATCCTCGGCATGCTCGCGCAGCTTCTTCTCCTTGGAGGCCTCGATGACGGCGTCCTCGATGTGCAGCTCCAGCTCGCGCCGCGTTTTGTCCGACTTGCGCAGCTCGTTCCGCAGACTGTCGTTCTTCTGCATGGCGCCATCGAGCTCCTCCTCCTTGTCCCTCACCTGGCGGGAGAGCTTCTGCTTCTGGTTGCGCAGCTCCGAGAGCTTCTCGGTGACCTCCGAGTACTCCATCATGGCGATATTGCGCTGAGAAATGGCGTCCTGCAGCTCGGCGTCTTGGGCTTTGAGCCGTTCGAAAATCTCATTGTGCTGCTTCGTCAATTCGATCTTTTCCTGCTTGAAGGCCGCCAGCTGCTCGTTCAGCGCCTTGACCTGTTTCTCCTGCACGGAGTCCACCGACGCCTCCGAGTTGTTGCTCGGCAGGATGGCCTGCTGTGGACTGCTTATGGTGTCCAAGGTGTCGTCGCCAAAGCCAGAGCTCTGGTTCTTCTTCGAATCCAAAGTGGAGCTGCTGCTCAGCGAGAAAGTGAAGCCTATGAATGGGAGGTGGAATCCGGAGAAGGCGGGATTGGCCGACGGGGGAATGGAGTCCGTTAACCGGACGTCGTTGTCGTCCACATCGAAGTTGGAAGTGTCCGTGGGACTCGACACTTCCGGCACATACGGTGCTGGCCCCTGCCTAATGTTCTTCCAGTCGATGCCCACAAACCAGGCGTGATCCATAAAGTCTTGGATGCCGTTCTGGCCCAGCCGATTCTCCGGAATACATATCAGCTTGCAGAGCAAGTCTTGCGACGTCTCCGACACCTTGTAGTTAATGGTCTCCTGAGTCGGCAAATTGAAGCAGTTCTGATGATTCATGATCTTGCCGTACGTCTCGACCAAACTCTCTGCGTAGAAGGGCGTTTCACCATACAGCATTTCGTACATGCAGACGCCGAGGGACCACCAGTCGCACTCCGTTCCGTAGCGACCCTTTCCGTCCTCCATGGCCCGCAGTATTTCCGGCGATATGTAATCGGGCGTGCCCACAGCCACGTTCGACTGGACGGTGCCATCCTTGTCCAGACGCAGGCACGATCCAAAGTCGGCCAGCCGCACATGGCCGCGCTTGTCGAGCAGCACATTATCGGGCTTGATGTCCCGGTGAACGTACCTGATCTGGTGAATACTGTTGATGGCCAAAATCATCTCGGTGATGTAGAACTTGGCCATGTCCTCGGGCAGCTTGTCCTCAAATTTACTCAGCAGCGTCAGCAGGTCTCCGCCGCAGTAATAGTCCATGACAAGATACTGAAATGAGGAGACTCGTGAGCTTTGATGAGGGGAAAAGATGCTGAAAAGATGTGCCCTACCAAGTTGATATTGTCCTGAAAGGCGTAGTGCAGATTGGTGATCCACTGCCGGTCCCCGAACACCAGAACATCCCGCTCTTCGCGAAAACAGGCTGTCTCGGCCCGCTTAAGCATCTCCCATTTGTTCAGGATCTTCATGGCATACACTTTCTCTGTGGATATCATCTGAACCACGCAGACTTCTCCAAAGGCACCACGCCCGATTATCTTGAGTATGTCAAAATCATCGCGGCTCAGCCGAAGTTTTCGTACAATGTGCACGAAGGGCTTGGCTAAAGGATAAGTAAAGTTTTAAAGGGATATATAAATAAAGTATTATGTAGCCATCATAGTTACATAGTTTGAGGAAATCGGAGACCCCCTTTTCTCTGCGCAGGGAAGAGTTACTGCATTCGTCATAGAGCACGATGAAGGTGTCCAACAGATAATCCAACGAAAACTGATGCCCTTCCGTGTCCTCGCCGAATTCGGCTGCCCATTTTTGTTCGCTTGTGGTATCGCTTAGAATATATTTTAGAAATGTGAGCCTTTTCTTGCAGCTTCCTGTGGTTATATCTGAAAGAATAGGAATTGGTGCTCGATGAGTAACTGAAAGATAACTCCAAATATGTCTGCTATCTGTATATATAAATTGACGGAAATGAAAGTTTTGAAATATGTTTGAAAAATCCAAAAATGCCTATTTTATACGGACAAACAGATAAATACTTTAGTTAATTAAAGATTAAACTACAAAATATGTTTCGTATTTGAATGTATAGAATGTCGGTACTGAAATTTCGAAATGGGTTTTGACAATGCATATTTTATAATATCTGAAAGATAATTACTTAATAAAATCTTTAATACCTTAAAGGCAACTTTAAGTATAGTACAAGTATAAGTTTCGTATATAAATATATATATAGAATGCCGACACTGAAAGTTTTGAAATGAGCTCTCTATTTAAATCGAACCTAGAGTTAGTAAAATTTAAGTAGTTTAAAGATAACAATACAAAGTAGCATTTTCGCAGATACGAATCTAAAGAGACATGGCCTCTTTTGGCCAAGAACGTAGTTATTGTTTTACCCTAAAAACGGACCAACACATGCATTGCAAATATTTGCAAGCCCCACAATAATGCCGCACCCACTGACGTCGTAATCACCATCACCTGGCTCCTTCCAACTCAAAAATGTGGCTCGGGTGGCAAAAAATCAGCTCAAACGGGTGGGTTATCATGGAGACGGAAACCGAAACTGAAACCGAAACGTGGGGAAACGTAGACCCAGTCCTACATACTGCATGTAGTACTTTTCTAAACAAATGACTGGAGCACAATGGCCTAAAATAGAAAAAGGGCCGAAACAGAGCACCAATTGCAATGGCTTTTAGCTACTACTATGTATTACCAATTTATTTACAAATTGTTTTCTCTGGTTTTCGTATTGGCTACCATTATTTACAATTCATATTCGGGCCATTTCGATTTTTCAAATATGTATGCGGGGTATTACATATGTATTGGGCCGACCCCCCGTGCAGGAGTATATAATAAGTATAAATCCATACAGACACATCTAAGCTTATGTACATGTCTGCATGTATGTTTGTTCTTCCGCACAGATATAAATAAATAATTGTTTATATGCATATGTATGTATATTATACAAAAGTGCGAAAAAACAAATGGTCAACAAACAAATAAACACAATCATATACTCCTCGATTTAAGTGTCACCGATTCACTAATATTACCACTTATTTCGGAAGATTCGTATTCCATTTTAGTTTTTATTTTGTCCGGACTAAATCATAATCATATTTATCCAAAATAGTGCAAAAAAGCCGAACTGTCGAATTGTAGTGTTCCGTTTGGGGGGGGGAACACAGTATGACCTTTTTGGGTTAAAAAAAAATCCCAAAAATATCTTAGCGATTAGTATGCGCGGTCTTATTACGCGTTTTTTATGGTTGCCAGCTGATCGGGGTAAATTTTAATAATTTTCCTATTAACATTTAAAAACATTTTAATATGTGATCTATAATTCAAGTAAATATAATTCTGAATTTATTATGTTCGAAATTGCGGTAATTCTTACTACTTTTAGTTGTATGCTAATTCATAGCATAACTTTAAGATAAACTATTTAATATGATGATCGTTATAAAACTCCAAGCCGATAAACTGTTATTACCAAAGATCTTATCTTCCGTATGGTGTTTGGTTTGGCATAATTTTTTTCCATTAATTTTAGCTAAAATAATAATGTTTAAATTGATTTATTTATTGATTTATTAATTGAATTGATTTTATGTACTTCATTAGCGTATGTGTTTCATTCCTTCATTCCTAATTTAAGCGCCTGGCATCCTAGCCGCGTTTTCGTTGTGGCACCGTGTAGATAGGCCCCTAATAAAGCCTTCTAATACTCAGTAGCGATCAAACTTCATTGCAAAATTAATATTTGTTATTGTTTCCAAGATATTAAATGTCTTCAGATGCGTTCTGAGTGTAATTTTTAACGTGGAGTTGATATAAGTCAGCAGTTCGGTCTATATTCGCGCTTACTTTCACCACAATTGAAATAATAAAAGTATGTACATACATATGTATCTAAATATGTGTGTATGCTGTAGAATAGTTTTTGTAAAGTGGATACGTACATAAAAAGTGGGATTGTTGTGCGGAAACTACTCGGATTAATCAAATTGTACAAACTATACATGCATGCCTGCAACATACTGGTTTTATAAGTTCTAAATGAAAACACTTCAAGTGCCGGAGTTACATCAATTTCTGCAGTGCATAGTGAGCAATTGAGCTGCAATTCCGCATAGCCCACAACTGAATTTGCATTACTATTCAAGCGTATGAAGAAAAACGTATGTTTTTACAATAAATACAAGCAGGCTGAGATGTTAGATACTATTTAGTAGAGCGAAAGATACTTGCTTTCGGAATGCATCTGTTAAGGGCATTTTTCATTAAATATTTTTTAATTTAATGTATGTATGTATGTTGAGAAAACTCTTTTAACAATATTAGCTACTTATTGGATAGTGTTATAGTTAAAATCTTTAAGGAAACCACCTTTATAAATCATTTCTTTGTAATTTCCTTTTTAGAGTAAGCCATGATGAGGGAATCGGCCCACGATATAAACATGGACACCTGGAAGCAATGGATCCTCGAGGCCATATCGAAGATCAGGTCCCAGAAACAGAGGCCCTCCGTGCAGAGGATCTGCCAGGCGATCGGCACGCACCACAAGTTCCACGAGGACATTGTGGCCGAGAAACTGGAGAAGGCCGTCGAATCGGGCGCAGTGATCAAGGTGTACAACAAGGGATTGCACTCTTACAAGGCGCCGATGGCCAAGCGTCGCATCAAGGTGGACAAGAATACCAATCTCTACAAGTTGGTGGCCAAGGCGGTCCACGATCTGGGCGAATGCGAGGGATCCACCATTAAGAGCATAGAAAACTACATTCAGAAGTTCAACTGCATCGACCTGTCGCCCAATGTGGACTTTAAGGCCGTGATTAAGGCATCCATTAAGAAGGCCGTGGACGCCGGCTTTCTGATCCAGGAGGGCAAGCTCTACAAAAAGGGTAAATCGCTGACAACCCCGCGGAAATGCGCCCCTGCCTCGGATGTGATCATAAAGGGCGAGGAGAGCTGCACCCACTGCTCGGGAAACTCGCAGAAGAACCTCAACGGCATCCCAGAGCCACTGAGCTCATGCAAACAGTGCGGGATTTCTCTGCACACCACCTGCGCCAATATTGCCGGCAGGTGCAAGTCGCAATCCTACGTTCTGCTCTACATGCTCGTCACGAAGGGCACGATTTGGGATTGCCAGAACTGCGCCGATTGCTCCGTCTGCAAAATGCGCAACCGTGGGCCTTGCCTGCTGCAGTGCTTCGTGTGCAAGGACCACTTTCACTTAACCTGTCTCGATACGATTCCAGACAAGAAGCCCAAGCATCCTTACAGGTAGGCTTACTATAAATTGCCAAAACTATTAATTTATATACTAATCAATTCTCTTATCAGGTGTAAAACATGCTCCAAACAAAGCATAGATAATCCGAAATTGATTAAAAAAGACAATACAAGGATCAAAATGGAGGCTGCCAATGAGAGGTACTTTGAAATACTTTTCAAATTAAATGAGTGTGCTTTTAATCGTTAAATTAAATCCTAGAATGACCCCCTCCGATAAATATGCCTCCAGTAAGCGGCAAATCATCAAAAAGGAAGGCAACATCGATAGTCCATCGACCTCAAAGCTTTGCGTTTACAACGACGGCAACGGCCAGAGGAGGAAAATGCCCGCCAGCTTGAACTCAAGGAAACTAAACCACAGTGAGGACCAGTTCGAGTTCCCGGGCAAGCAGAAGAGGTCGCAAATATTACAGGGAGGCTACTTGGCTAGCCAGGAAACGCGCAAGCGAACCTTTTCGGATCTGTCGTCGACAAGTTCGTCCAGCGAAAGTGAAGACGACGACGACGAGGACGACGACAGGAACAGGAATGGCGATGACAACGATCAGGACGAGAGCACATCCTCGGATTCGTGCACTTCATCGAGCTCTGACTCGGACTCCAGCGAGAGTTCCAGCGACAGTTCCGAATGCGATGATGAGAACGACGAGGAGGACTATGACACCGATCGCAGCACGCTGAAGGGGAAGATCTTCGAGAATGAGAAGCAGAGCTGCGCCAAACTTAATGTGGGCGAAGGTCTAGGCTCGCCGCAAACCAATGAAGTGGCCAGTGAGAACTGGGGGTTCGCCGCCGTGGCGAAAAACCCCATTGACATATTTGTAAAATCAAAAAATAACGCAAGTGGCAAGAACATGGGATACACAAAGCCAGCAGCAAGCACGTTTGCCACGTCACCTGCCGCAAACAGGGCGCCAAAAAGCACGCCAGTAGCTGCTTCTACTCCGGACAAAAGCACCACAACAGCCATTGGCGGCATGACCATAAGGCGACAGACCGCAAATGGGCAGAAGAAAAAGATTGTGCCCTTGAAAAGTATGCCGCTGGAAGCAGGCAAGTCGTACGAGAAGTGCGACGATGACATTCCGTATCTAACTGAGGAGACTGTTATGAAGGTTCAACTTCTGGAGGAGATTGAAAGGAGCAGGGAGACCCACAGCGAGGCTGATGGCAAACCAGAAACGCATAACGACGAGGATGTGGCTGGGGAAAGCACAAAGCGTGCCAATCCCTTCGAGAATCAGCCCCTGCCGCCCGGTGTGACCGCCACGGATGTGGAACTCTATCAAGAGGTTCTCCACAAGGCCGTCGTTCAAATGTCCAATAATCATGTCGAAAAAGTAAACGATATAAGCCTGAAGCCGGGACAGAACACCCAGAGTCCCAAATCGATCCAAATAGGAAAGTGGGACATTGAGACCTGGTACTCCAGCCCCTTTCCGCAGGAGTACACCAGGCTACTGAAGCTGTTTTTGTGCGAATTCTGCCTGAAGTACACAAAGAGTCGTTCTGTTCTGGACAGACATCAGAACAAGTGTATTTGGAAGCAACCGCCAGGCACGGAAATATTCAGACAGGGCAATATATCGGTGTTTGAAGTGGATGGCAACGTAAACAAGATATATTGCCAAAACTTATGCCTGCTGGCCAAGTTTTTTCTCGACCACAAAACCCTCTACTACGACGTGGAACCGTTTCTCTTCTATATTCTGACTAAAAACGATCAGAGCGGATGTCATCTGGTTGGCTACTTCTCAAAGGAAAAGCACTGCACTCAAAAGTACAACGTGTCCTGCATCCTGACGATGCCGCAGTACCAGAGGCAAGGCTACGGCAGGTTCCTGATCGACTTCAGTTACCTGTTGAGCCGCGAGGAGGGCCAGTTGGGCACCCCGGAGAAGCCGCTCTCGGATCTGGGACGCCTGTCGTACTTTTCGTACTGGAAATCCGTTGTGCTGGAGTACTTGTACAAGTATCGCAACCACACAAAGATCACGTTCAAGGATATAGCCATTAAAACTGGTTTGGCCATTTCAGACATTGCCCTGGCCTTTGAACTGTTGAACTTCATCAAGTTGAGGAAAAACGACGGCGACATAAGGTATCAGATAAATGTGAAGATCGACTGGAAGAAAGTTGTGGCTCATCACAATAAAATGGCGAACAGCAAAACTCGAATAATCATAGAGGCAGACTGCTTGCGATGGAGTCCGCTACTGTCGGTCTCCAAATTGCCCAACATAATCAAGCCGATTTCCAATCGTGAATACTTGAACAACCAAATTGAGAAACAGTCGGATTCGAAAGAAACTAACGAAGATAACAAGGCAGTTGTTAAGCAAAGTGTGCCCACTACACCGAAGTTGAGTCAGGAGAGTGCCGAGTTTCCCAGCATTAAATCTCGTGGGCCAAGCTCTGAAAAGTTGTTGGACGAGAGGGAAAATCAGCGGAAACGTGCCTGTCCGGAAGAGTTCCTAAAATCGGCTCCCAATGAGGCCAAGAAATGCAAGCTGACTGCAGCACAGCCGCCTCTGGAGGAGCAGTCGTTTGGCGAGCACTCCGACTCATCCGATTGCAAGTCTTCTAAGGAACTGTCCGAGCAGTTGACCAAAAGGGCCCAGCGTTTGGCCAAACGCAACGACCTGATCCCCCACACAAACAAACGGAAGCATTTCGACCGCCCGCTGGAGAGCAATGCCATCGCAGCCGACCCGAATCCACCGATTCAAAGTCAATCGGAGATTTCAGGCGTAGAAAGTGGCCCTCATGTGGATGAACCTACTACGAAGGAGATCAGCAAGATTGTGGTGGAAAAGGAGCATGTGGACAAACCGGTCAACATTGTACCCAAGCTGAGGGGTAAACAGTCCAATGGCAAACGCTCCGAGGAGTCGCAGTTCAATGGGAATACCACATCAGAACCTGTCGAAGTGCCGGCGATTAGTCCAGCAAAGGAAGCCACTAAAGAGCTGGTTAAGGTGGCAAAAACCGAGAGCCCGGAGAAGAGCAAGGAGTTGGCAAGGAACGAGAGTGAAGCCAACAGCATAAGTGATCAAGTGCTCGATGCGGTGGCCAAGAAAACCAAGAAGACGTTGTTCGCCGACGTCACGACGTCGTACAAACCGGAAGAGGTCAAATATAGTACGCCGGACAAGCCGGTGGCAAACACACCAGAGGTCAAGGAAACCCCAAAGGAGGTTGACATCAAGGAGGTCAAACCGCTTGAAGTTCCTGAGCAAAAGCCCAAACCGAAGAGTCCCGAAAAAGTGGAACCCATTGTGGTGCCTGCTCAGCCCGTTTTGGAAAAGGTTAATGTTCCTGTTAGTGCGGAGAATGTTAAGAATTGCACGGAGGAAAAGAAACTGGAGCTGGATGTTAACCACTTGAAGTTCTCACCCGACTCCTCCTCCTCCTCGGCACTTCCGCCAGCGGTGCCAATGCAGAAGTCTCTGCCCGAACTTCCCGCTCCAGTTGTGCATAAGGCAAAAGCCAATGAAGCTGTGCCGGCTCAGGCCATTGAAACCGCACCGAAGCCATCCGAAATGGAAAGGATTAAAAAAGTCGAAGTCGCTGCGCCCAATCCGCCATCGCATCGAACGGATGTTCATGTTCCTACCCTTGTGGAGCAACCTCAACAGCAGCCGGTGAAGGAAAAGATCTCGCCCGAAAAAGTGGAGCAGCCAATGGTCAAGGAAAATGTCGAAATTAAAGAAAAGGCCATCAAGAAAGCAGTGCCGGAAGTGCCAGTTGTAAAGCCGGAAGTAGTCAACAGCGGCGAAAAGAAGTACGATCCGAGCCGGGTGAAGGTGCTGCCCGAAAGGGAAGTCATCAAGTCGGACCAACAACTGGTGCAGGTCAAGGAGGAGGAGAAGTCGAATGCCAGGGCGCCCTCGGCACCCATTCCCATTCGGGACAAGATCCCACTGAAGGGCAACGAGCACGCCCAGCTGCAGAACTCCATTCCCTCGCAGTTCCCGATCAACCAGATGCCCAACTACCACACCTCACAGTACTGGCAGTGGGAGTACTACGGCTACAATCTCTCGCATTTGGACCCCGCCGCGCAGAAGGGACAGAAGCAGTTCCACAAGGATCTGGCCACCACCATGGCCTACACGCACAACTTCACGCAGAACCTCTATCAGTCCGCCAACCTGGCCATGCAGCACGCCGCCCACCACCAGATGCACCAGACCAAGGAGAAGCACAAGGTGGAGCGCAAGACCAGTGGCAAGAAGGAGGAGCAGCAGCAGCAGCAGCCCAAGGTGGTCTCCAGTGTGTCCAATGTGGTCAGCAGTGCCCGCGAGGATGGCCATGTCCAGCATTGCAACGAGTACGTGGCCAACAACCAGGCGGCCATTTACAATCAAAAGTGCGCCACCCAACAGAAGCAGGCTCAGCAGATGAAGTCGCTGGCCAATGTGCAGAATTCGGTGTCACGGCAGAACCCCAATCCCAATCCCAACCCGGCTGAGTCGACGGTCCTCATGCCCAATCCAGTGAATCCGCAGTCGGGAGGCGGGCCCGCCAAGCAGAAGGTCGAGCATGGCGTCAATTCCACATCGGTCATTTCGCGCGAGGGCAAGCTCAACAAGATTGGTGGTGGTCATCCCAACATCCACGCCGCCGCCCAGCATGCCAACCTTCAGGTGGGCGGTGGCGGCGGCGGCGGCGGCCAATCGGACGTGAATCCCAATCTGGTCTATAACACGGAGTCCTCGGCGAACGCGGCCATGCAGCACTACGATTGCGGAATCAGTGCGCAGATCAACATGGAGTCGCCGGCCAACATTGGCACGGCCATCGCCCACGGCTCGCAGGAGATCGCCGCCGCCTCCAATGTGCACATGCACCAGCCGCACCGGCAGTTCTCCGACTGCTCCATGCAGAACCAGCCGGTCACCACGCCCATGCACATGTCCATCCAGAACTCCCACATGCAGCAGCAGAACAATCTGAACATGAATCTGGCGCCGGAGGGTGCGCCAAACATAAATCTCCTCAGCAACTCGCAGCACCAGCATCAGAGCAGGAAGCTAAATGCCCAGGTAATATTTTCTATATTTTATTTAATTCGTTGTAAAGCATGTAAAAGGTATTGCCGACCCTTTAAAGTATATATGTTTTTGATCAGGACCCATAGCCAAGTCCATCTAACCATGTCCAGAAATCGTAGAACCTAGTTAGTATGGTATATAATTTTTAAATCGAACTATTATTTTAAAAGTTATTAGCATAAATGTGAATTCCCGGTAGATGGAGCCTCCTGAAACCCAATTATTTTGTTAGCTTACTAGCGTCGGGACACTTAACTATAGCCTAGTCTTACGTATTAATTCTCGTATATTTTAATTCCATAAGTTTATTCGGTGAATAACTATCGTAAGAAAGTCTTTAAAATCAAACTATTAGTTTAAAAGCTATTAGCATAAATGTGAATTCCCGGGAGATGGCGCCACCTGAAACCCGCTTAGTTTTGTTGAGCCTTATTTATTTTGTAGTTGGTTAGCTCAGTAACTTGGGATCACTTAACTATAGCGCACCTTCTTGTTATTGACGGAGTCTTACATATTAATTCTCGTATTTTTTCATTTCATAAGTTTATTTGGTCAATAACCGTCAACTCATTTATATTTAAAGTTATTAGCATATATGTGAACTCTCGGTAGATGGCGCCACCTGAAACCCGCTTAGTTTTGTTGAGCCTTATTTATTTTGACATTGTTTAGCTCAGTAACGTCGGATCACTTAACTATAGCGTACCATCTTTTTATTAAATTCTTGTATGTTTTCATTTCATAAATTTATGTGGTCGATAGTTATTATCGAACTAAAAGTTATCAGCATAAATCTGAATTCCCGGTAGATGGACCTTATTTATTTAGTAATTGATTAGCTTAACTTTAGCTTTCCTTCTTGTCTTTGTTCGATTCCTACGTATTAATTGTCGTATATATCCATTTTGCAGGCGGACATTGCAGTTAGCTCGCCGACTCCCTCCCACAGAGCCACCACGCCCAAACAGATTCGCAGCGGAAATACGAGCCAGCAGCGTGACGCTAAGAACGCGGCGCCGGCAACGACCACAACGAATACTCATCACCAGATTCCGCAGGGCGGGGCCACGGCGAACATTGCCAAGTCGCACCACGACTCGCTGCACAACCTGCAGTTCCTGCAGCACGGCCACCAGCAGAACATGCAGCCCACCGACTACGTGCCCATTCCGCAGATCAGCCAGAACTTCTCGGCCAATCCCTCGAACTACGACCTTGTGGGCATTCAGCAGCGCATGTCGCTGAACAGTTCCGTGCACTCGCTGGCCAACAGCCACCAGCGGTTGGAGCAGCCGTCGTCGGCGTGTGCCGTCAACAACTTCTACTTGCAGAACAACATGCCTGCGGCGGAGAATGCGCCGCGAGTGCCGGTCTCCAGTTCGCTGGGCGGTCCGCCGACGGCGGGCAACGGCAACGACCAGCGGCAGACGGGTCAGGACACGATTTCGGCGGCCAATGGCTCCGGCGGAGCCAGCGCCTCGCTGGCGGGCAACCTGTGTAGCCTGTCCAAGCTGCAGCAGCTCACCAACTGCCTGGAGAGCCAGCCGTGCAACACGTCGCCGGGGGCGCAGGTGAATCTGGCCCCCTCGCCGCACCATCCCATTCCGCCGAACTCGATGACGCCGCCGCCGCACCTGCTGATGCAGAACCGGAACATCTCCACGCCGCCCAACATGCTGCAGACGCAGGTGACGCCGCTGCAGTACAAGTACTATCCGAGCAACATGAACATTGCGCCGATTGCGTCGGCACAGAACACCAGCCGCCAGACCCGCAACACGCCATCCGCCCCGGTGCAGCACACCTCGACGCCCATGGGCAGCGGCAACAACCGGACCGCCAACGTGCACATCAGCCCCAACCTGATGGCTCCGTATGGGGCCATCAACAGCTACCGGATGTCGCCGCAACAGTCACCGCCCACTGGAAGCTACAGCTCGGGGAGCGAATACCCCAACTCGCAGATTCCGATGCAGATGATGAATATGCAATCTCAGTACCAGGATGCCTGCGTGCTGCAGCGGGGCACCCCATCCAATCCGATGTACCCCACGTATTCCCCCTACTTACCTCTCAACGGTTCTATTCGCAGATAATAGATGCGCACATTTTATATGTTATTGTATTGAGTATGATTTGTATATATGAATGTGTGCTGTAAATAAATATACATTACGTCAAATTAACAATTCAAATCTGAAGGCCTTTTCCTGAAGAGCAACTAAATAGTAAATAGTGGTTGTTTAATACTTTTTCTTTATTGCTTAGATCCTAACATTGTTTAATCAAAGCTTGTTTATTATTATTTCGAATGTGCTATTATCTAGACTAATGTCAATGTTTTTTTTTAGTTTCCTTTTACCGGGCATTGCTACCCAAAACCAAAAGAGACCAGTTTTCGAATGTTATTCCGTATGAGTTTTACTATTCATGGGCTTCTGAATTAAATACAATTGGGTAGAACGATTGCTTACACAGTAGGTTACGAGCTATGAATATTTGTTTAGATTTTGTTTGTATTTGTTTCAGAATAAAAACTAATAACTTATCGTAATTATGCGTTTAAAAAGAATTTACTATGATAAGATAATAAATAAATTAGAGGGAAGTAGTGGTAAGGAATAAAGGCCGAGCTCTGTTTTCGTCCAGTCAAGGTAAACACCCTAACGACAAAGTAAACAATTGCTGTTTGCATTACATATTTTGATTCGCAAGCCACAAGAACATTATCATGGGTAAAATTGAAATTTAACGAGTATAGGAAGCATTGTGTGTGTGGTTTATTGATCACTTGTATGATCTCACTAATTGTCTAGTATAATGATAATGATTTGTTTTGACAGTTTACTTCTTTTTGCCAACGCCTGAATAAATATTCTTTGAGTACATTATAAAAGAAATGTATAAACAAAAAAGCAATTACAATAATCTATACAATAAAACATGGTTGAAAGTCAAACAGAAATCGAACTCGAAATCGAAACATAATAAAAGTATCAGTTAAAAGATATAGTCTGAGTATATTTGAGCTCGTTAAAGTGGCTTCGCCCTCAACTGGACACGGAGATATTGGACCATGGTCTATTTACACTTGCTATTGCGACGACCATTCGTTGATGGGGTAAGTACTGCCAATGTACGATGGCTGTCGAATAGACTCGCTTGACGCCGGTGAGTTTACAACCGAACTCCAATGCTGGCGAGGGAAAACATTCGAGTTGACGTACGACGACGGAGCACCGATGTACGCCGCTGGCGGATGCAGGTTGGAATGATACGGTGCGAAGTTCAGATTGCCGTACGAGGTGTAGTTATTGATGTGGTAGCTGGCTCCGGGCGCCGGCGCCGCCTTGTGCTTATTGTCATAGTAATCGTAGTACTGTGGCGGATATGTGTGCTGGAAGGGTTTGGCCTGGAAGTACGAGCTGTCCGCCGACGGCGCCGGCTCGCTGTTGGGCGCTCCTGGATGCGGCGCCAGTGGCGCATTGGGCTGAATACTATTGGCATTGCTGTAAGCCTCGCCGGCCGCAGGCATGTGATTCGGATGTTTATACGCCTGTGGCGGTGGCTGCTGCGGTTGTTGCTGTTGCGGTGGTTGCTGTTGCTGCGGCTGTTGATGCGACTGCTGCTGCGGCAGGGTTTGCGCCTGCTGTGTGTAGTTCAAGTCACAAGGCATCGGGTGCTGATTTGTTGGGGTGGCTAAAGTATTATTTGGTTGTGTTTGCGGCTTAAAATGTTGCATGTTCTCCGCGGACTTTCGCTCTTTCGTCGACATTTCCGTCCGGCTACTGGTTGCTGGAGTGCTTTCCTTACTCTTAATCACATGCGGTTCGTCATCGGCTGTCAGATCTTTCACATCTAAAAGGAGATTAGTTATTCAACATCATCAATTCAGCATAAGTGAAGTGCCTACCTTCTTCTGGAGTTTGGGGTTTTGCTGTGTCGGTGTCACAGTCGGAAGTTATGTCTATCACATCATCCTTGTTTGTCTTTTCGGGTTCAGTTTTGGCCGTTGTCCTTATAGCTATGATCTTCCCGCTGTCCAACTGCATGTAAATTCCTTTCGTCGACTTCAGAACCATAACTCGTTGGCCAGCCTTTAGAATTATATTGGCTTTGTCGGCCGAATTTGTGGGAATAACAACGTCTGAAATGCATATTAGTTAGGCTATTGCTCAAGTTGGACAAAAGGATAACACACTTACCAAGTGGCAGGGTCATTTCTTGGGCAGTCATTCCCTGTCTTTGCCACACGTCAGCTGGAATCCAACGAGTGGATCGACCAGAGGAAGCCAATGTATTGGTCTTTGTTTGCTATGGACAGAGGTAAAGTTAAAGTAAGATGAATTCCAGACATGGGTGAGTAATTTACAAGGCACTCTACCTGATTCATTGGCTTGGTAATTACAGTTCCGTCGTTGTTCACGATCTTGTAGTGCATTTTCGCTGGCGCATAAGTACATCTCTGATTTACAGCTGCCTTCTTTTCCAGTTCGTAGCTCCGATGAGCCTGTCTTTTTTCCGCCTGCGACAGTTTCCTGTCCTTTTGATCAACCAACAAACTCTCGTGCAAGAAGGGTTCCTTTGTCACACAGTGCCTGTGCAGCTCGAGAATGGTGTTGATAATCGAGTCGGCATGGACAGTGTTTTCCGGGACATCGTCCTTTTCCTTTTTGATCGGTGAATGTGAGGCGCCGTTTAGTGTTTTGGACTCCGTCTGATGGTTTGCCGTCTTGTTTTGATCTTCGGTTGATTTATTTTGCCCATCTAGCGAGTTATTGGTCTCGTCTTCTCTCTTAATCTGCTCAACTGCTGGCTTGCTGCCCTCCTCCGACGGTGAGCTTGGCTTGCTCAAATCGTTTATTGGTTTGTTTATCTCCTCGACGGTGTCTTCATCGGAGTCGTAGTCGTGACACAGATTGGTTATATCCTTCATCGAAAGATGTGCCTCGGGATTGCACTCGTCGACGATTCGATCGGACATGCCTTGCTTTTTGATTTGCCTATCGTATATCTTCTTCTCCAGACATTTGTCCATTACAATTCTATACACAAAACACGGCTTAGTCTGACCATATCTGAAAATTTGGTAGATCACTTTAGTTACTATAGCGGTGACCTAGTCAAGTTCATCAACTCTTACCTATAAATCCTATATACAGCTTGTGTATCGTGACAGGGATTCCAACTAGCGTCGAATATTATAACGCGATTCGCTCCAGTCAGGTTAATGCCCAATGAGCCAGCTCGTGTAGATATTAAAAAAAGCTTAACATTACTATTTGCATTAAATTCATTGACTAGTCTTTCCCTTTCCTGCGAGGAAGTAGAACCATCCAAACCTGTAAAAAATAAGTAATATGAGTAACTATAACTTTATAGTATCTATTTGGGCATACTTACGAAAATAAGAGCTATTTTTAGTCCAGAACATATTGCTACCAGGAACATAACTAGATTTTAGATAGACTTCGAGTAGGTTTAAGGTTAATAGACTTTGGCTAAACAACAAAATACGATCGCCCAACTGAAGGCTCTCCTTCAGGATGCAGAAGAAAATCTCCATTTTCGGCGAATTGGATATAAGACCCGACACGTAGTTCTTCATGAGGTCGACGGCCCACGAACATGAAAACTCATCGTTTCGCTTACTTTTTAGCAACTTTTTGAACGGCTCGACGGGAACGCTACTAACGTTCTTAATGCCCGAGGCATTCCATTCACTTGGCTTGTTGGAATTGCACTCATTTTCTAGTTGATTGTTGGAACACGGCGTTTGTATTGTCGTTTCGACGGTCTTTATCTCGTTTGTGTCCAGATCCACGATCTCCGATGACCCGGTTATGCTCTCAAAGTTATTTGACATGCTCGTGTCCGTTTGCTTGATGACCTCAACGCATCCCGCCGGCTTGGGAAGAATACTGGAGTCCATCCAATAATTGTTTTTACCCTCACTACCGAAGGTGCCATAATTAAGTGGCTCCGGCTTTTCATCGTAGAAACTAGGACTAAAAAACAAAATAATTATAAATTTAAAAAGGTAAACAATCAAAATACACCATACCTCTTGTTCAAATATTTAGCATTCAAATCCGATGATGTGGGTATATGAAATAAGTTTTGATTATCGGCTTTGGGCAGGGTTTCAATACTATTGACCACCGCTTCGCTGGCTCCATTGATTTTCCGCTCGAACAGAGGCGAAGCCACACTCAAGGAGGGATCTGGACTGGGCTCCACAATCGGGATGGGAGCTCCCTTGGACACCTCCTCGTCGATTTCTAAGTCTAAATCAGTCTCACATTTTTTCAGAAAGTTATACAGAACATCCGGATGGTTCCAGATCTTGCAGCAGACGGCAAAGGCCTTCAGTGGATTGGGAAACGCCTTGGTGCGCACCACGTCGGTCATGAAGGTGTCGTAGAGCTTGCGCTGGAAGGCGGTCATTTTGGCCAGGATGACGTACTCGTACTTGTGTGGCAGCGTCAGCTGCAGCACCGTGTGCGACCGCCGCTGGACGAAGCCCAGCAGCAGGGAGTGCAGCACGTGGGCCCTGTAGCGCATCAGCTTGATGTCGTCGGGGGTGGAGTCCACGCACTGCCCGTTCTGGATGGGCCGCTCGAACATGTTGCAGAACTCGGTGCGGGTGCCCAGGTAGTTGGGCCGCACGAAGTCCACCATGCACCAGTACTCGAGCAGGTTGTTCTGCAGCGGATAGCCGGTGAGGACGATGCGTCGCCGCGTCCGAATCTGCTTCAGGGCCAGGGAAATGCCGGCGTGCGAGTTCTTGATCCGGTGCCCCTCGTCGCAGATCACCAGATCCGGTCCTGGCTTCACCAACGCCTCGAAGACGAGGTTCATCAGATCGCTGCTGGAGTCCATGCCGTCCGGCCGGATGACGCTGCCCTTGCGCTTGCGTGTCTTCACCAGCTTGAGGGCCAGCAGGCGGAACAGCTCGTAGCCGATGAGGAGCACGCCGCCGTCGTGCACCCAGTTGAGGATCACCTTGGCCCGGGCCGTCAGCGTCTTCTGCTGGTCGTTCAGCACGTAGATGTCGAAGTTGCGGGCCCGCACATTGCCATCGGCCGAGTAGCGCGGCACCCACATGTTGAACTCGCTCAGCCAGTTCTGCAGCGTGTTGATGGGCATCACACACAGCACGGTCTTCGCCGAGGTGTGTCTCAGGAATATATCACAGAAGGAAACCACCTGCAACGTCTTGCCCAGGCCCATCGAGTGGGCCAGTATGCAGCCGAAGCCGCTCGATTTGTTGTACCTCCGTGTCGATTCGATTATGTTGTCGTACAGGAAGCGCACGCCGCCGATCTGATGGGGCTTTATCACCTTGGCTATCTGGGGGGCCAGGTAGAGGGTCTCCTCGCCCTCGGGATGCGCGATGTTGACCACCACCTGGCCGTTCTCGTCGGGCACATTGTACGCGTCCTTCACATGCATCCCACTGTTGGTGGCGTCGTCCGACTCGTTCATGTCCTCGTCGTCGTCCTCCTCCTCCTCCTCGGACAGCAGGATGCAGTCGTCGTCGGAGCTGTCGTCGATGGTGACCACCTCGCTGGGCTGCTGCACGCTGGCCTCCTTGTGCAGCACATCCTCGATGCTGCCGCCGCTCAGGCTGCTGCTGTTCGACTCGTCGAACGTGTCCGAGGCTATCTCCTCCTCCGGATAGTCGACGGGCGGGTGATGCTCGACGGGATTGGCCACCGCACAGCTCTCAATGCCCTCGCTCTCGTCGAGCTGCAGGATGCGGAAGAACTGCTTGTGCACCACCTGCTTCTGGATCTCCCGCATTGACTTCTGTTGACCAGCAACGCGAGCCAAACGCTCCGACTCCTCCCGCTGCGCAGCCAGCGTGGTGGTGTCCAGATTGTTCTCGTTCATCACGTCGCGGATGTTCTTGCGCAGGTGACTGGCCTTCTTCTCCTCGGCGGCGGCGGCCACGGCCAGACTGAGCTTCTTGTTGGCGGCCTGGTCCTCGGCCGACGAGTTCTTTCGCTTGTGGCCATAAGGTACTGTGTTCTTGGCCACTTCGGCCAGGGGATTCATGACCCGGTCGGGCTCCACCGGCTGACTCATGTCGGGGCAGTATTCGGGCATTTTAGCGGGTATTTCCACGGCTCCATCGATGGGTGTTGGTATGGGTATGGGTACGGGTATGGGTACGGGTATGGGTATTGGTGTGGGTACCGGTGGCTGTGCCTGTGGCTCTGTGGGAGGATGATGGAAGTACCGCCTGGGGTCCTCCGGAAACATCATCGGGGTGTGAAACTCACTGACGTTGGGCCAACCCTTCGGCTTTTGAAGTCTTTGGTTAACATCGTAGTTGGGATTTGACTCTTCCATGTTGGTGGCTTCGGATGTGTCCCTGTGGGAAAAAAGAGATGGATTAGAATGGTTTAAAGAAATCGAAAGAGAAGTTGCAGATGGAGTAGATTCTGTAGTTAAAACTCATATGTTCACTGCAGAAATTAATTATAATCATAATGATGTAAAGTTGAGCAATAGAAACCCGACTTATCCCATCGCTAGCAAAGGTCACAAAACCAATTAACAAATCTTTGGGGACAGGGGCGTTGTAATAAACTGGAAATTGTTATTACTCAATAGTACTACTCCATAATACCCATATATAGGGAGGAATGTACTTATGATATGGGTTCCAAGGGATCGGAATCGGTATTTACTTGGCACGGATAAATTCTCGGCTGTTGACACTTATCAGAAGCACCCCTACATACTTACATACATACAGGTGTAATTTTCGTATGCTTTGAGGGCATATACTAAATCGTATGAACTTGCAGCTGCTTACCGATCCATTATATATACATATAGTAACTGAACTATCGTGGACTTACATCAGTAGAGTCAGGAGGAATATTTGTGTGATATTCGCCTTTTACAAGCCACACATGTATGCTCATTACATACTCATATACGCAAGTACATACTGAATTCGTAACCGGGCCGGATTTATGGCCATAAAAATGGAAATTCTTGGGTCTTATGCCTCGCTCCCTTTTTGTTCTTAAGGGGCAGGATGAATCAAAACAATTGGGGTCGACACAGAAATTATCTCAAAGACTAATACAATTATATATGCACAATTAACTGGCAAGATTTTTTCTCAATTATAGGCAGGATTTTATTTTACTTAATTTGATGCACAAACAATCTTACGTACATTTACATGCAGCCGGCGAATTAGTTTTTTATGATGAAAAAATTAACAACACAGCTTCTTAATTATTGTTATTTTATACATATGGATTTTTTTTTTATTATGCACTATTGGAAGGTTTTTTTGATTGGTGTTCGGTTTTGAGATTCTCGGTTGATCGCGTCTGTCACTTGTATTTCGAAGACCAAGTTCTTTAGCTTGTTTTTATATTAACTTAATATGTTATTCTCGATTTATTTTCTCGCTGTTTTCAACATGTATATTTGTATATAATGAATACATTACTATACATATATGAACTAGTGATGTATAAAAACATCGATGCATTGAGCGATATTACCCGATGGGGACTCATTGCACGATTTGTCTGGGATATTTATCGGAATGAGTGGAATCGGGACAAAACTTTTTAAATTTAAATGTTTAGCCGTGTTTGACTTTAAAATTTGTTTACTAGAAACTTACAGTACGTATCAATATGTACTCAAAATGTGTATTTAAATCATTGACAATATGAATATACAAATTTACAAATATATTTTAAATCTAAGAAAATTCGAAAACCAAAAGTTATTCTATTTTTATAAAGCACAAGAATGAACAAAAGAAAAATAATTAAAAGTCGTTGGCGGAAACGTATTTAATAGTGTGCCACTTTCTATTTCCAGCGTGTCTCCACTGAACACGGTATATTATTTTCATCGAAGAGAGATACGGTCATACTGCAAGGACCTTTGGATTTTAACGTATAATAAGTTTTTATGGTTGTGTTTTCCTGATAATTAACTGATTTGTGATATTTGTGTTGCTTGAATAATGGTAATTCAATGATTGAAATTCACGTATGTCCTGCTAAAACAGTTGTCCCCCCTTTCAGTGCCACATATCAAACTGGAGTACGCTGAAAATTGTGCTGGCCTTCCTGTCGCTTAATATTTTCTGGCTTTTGAAGGTGTATCCTCCGGCAGGAGATGCACCCCAAAAATGCCCACCTCCGGAGCTGACTCCTCGTAGTCCGGCGACCGTGGAATGTCCCTAGCATTCGGACATCGCCTATGCTCTGCTGCAGCCGCTGAACAACTTGGACGGCTTCGTGGCTCCCAATAATTCGGCGATGCTGGCCTTCGAGAACATTGACTTGAGCTACGGTCGCTGGGACAATCAGCAGCTGTACAGGATCAAGGACTTTGCGTTGCTGGGCGAGCAGTACATGGACTCCGGGGACTCCAGTTTGGTTTGCCTCGCCACCCAGACTTCGGTGGAGCGCCTCAATTCGCTGCCCCAGGTGGCTGCCAATTGGCAGGGCAAGATGTCCGTGGCGGTTTTTGCGGCTGGCCACGAGGAGTTCGTTGTCCTGCAGTACTTCGTCACCTATATGCGTCTGTGCTTTGCCAACATCCGGGAGAATGCCACCTTTCATTTGCTCACGCCAAGGGACTACGACAAATTGCCGCGAGTGGCCGCTCTGCCGCTGAACATGAAGGGCAAATTCGACTGCCAGTATCCGGACAGAACGCTGAAATCGCTGCTCAAGTTCCGTTCGCTGAAGACCCTGCAGTGGCGCCAGAGGAACACCTATCCCCAGAACCACATGCGGAATCTGGCGCGCAAGGGCTGCCAGACAAAGTACGTCTTTCTCACGGACATCGACATTGTGCCCAGCACGAACAGTGTGCCGCAGCTGAATCAGTTCTTTCGAACTGCCAACTGCTCCAAGAGCTGTGCCTACGTGATCCCCACTTTCGAGATTGATGTTAGAGCCACGTTTCCCCGCTCCAAGAACGCCCTGCTGCGATTGATTAGGAAAGGCTTAGCACGACCATTCCACGAGAAGGTCTTTATCTACAACCAATATGCCACAAACTTCTCCAAGTATGTGCATACTCAATTAGCTTTTAAAATGTATCTCAGTAAATAGTAAATAATTGCCTTTTAGGTGGCTATCCACAAACACAAATGAGACGGAGGTCACAGTGAGCCATATCGTAACGAACTTTGAATTCCTATATGAACCATTCTACATAGCCATAGACAATGCACCAGCACATGACGAAAGATTTCTGGGCTACGGCTTCACCAGAAACTCTCAAGTAAGTAGTACTTGTTCCACATATATATGCACTGGTTTACGATTTACTTTTTGCAGGTTTATGAGATGCATTTAGCTGGCTTTCAGTTCTATGTTCTGTCCCCCGTTTTTACCGGACATTGGGGATTGCAAAGGAAGCAGGCGAGACCAGCTTGGCGAGAGCAGCAGAATAATGCGAATCGCAGGAAGTTCGATGTTTTCAAAAGCGAAATATTTGTGCGATACAAAAACGATCCACGGTTGCTATTGAAATCTAAAAATAATCAAATTCTAGTTAAATAAAATGTCAATAGCTGAATAGTATTTAAATGGATTGTCTTTAAGAAAGTTTCGTAGTAGAAAGCTCGTAGGCCAAATGAGCTATTATTGCGTACAAATTTAGTTATCAATTTTCTCTTCTTTCGACTCTTACAGCTTCAGAAAAAAATCACAAAACAAAAAAAAAAAACAAGTGTTTATATATGCGTGTTTAGTTTATCCGTTAAACGTAGAGTAAAAGGGTATAAGATATATACTCTTGGTCAAGGTCTTTACCCTGCCTGTCCGCCTGAACCTCGGGGTCTCGAAAACTAGAGATTTCGGAATTAAAATGTAAATTCTAAATAGTTTATTTCAAAGTGCGGCCATTTTAAGGCTATCTATCTCAAACAAACATTTTCTAATTAGAAGTTATGAGCATTATTGTACATTTTCAGCAGATGGCGCCACCTAAAACCAGATTATTTTTAGGATTCCATATGTAATATTTTGAAACTGTAAACTGGTCTTCAGCGTAGGCGTTCCAAAGGAGAGAATAGAGAGAGACAGGAAGAGGAATGTTATCCGTGGGCTTTCACGCGAATGTGGAGACAAAGCAGAGGCTGCGAGGATGGTCCGTGCGAAGCAAAACAATGGGAACCAAATGCCGGAAGGGCAAAAGCGCAGGCGCAGGACTTTCGCAAGCTGCGTGATAGTCAACCCCCCCTCCACCCAAAAAAAAAGCTCCTATCGCCAGCGCAGGACAATAAAAGCTTGGTCCTTCGGCCAGCCATTCGCAGTCTGTGGCAAACAGAAGGCCCAGTGGATCATTGTGAGTGCTAAAAAAAAAAACCGAATTCCAAAACGCAATGTGGCAAAGTGATTGCCAACTGAGATACTCCAAAATCGGGCGAAACCAGGCGACTTCGAGACCTAATCTAAATCCGATCCGGCTGTAAAAACCCGCCGCAGGTGAGACCCAAATCCCTGGCTCGCTTTTCGGCGCTTCAAGGCTGCCAAAGTCTTTGTATTGCGCCTGTGTTTTCGATTTTTTTTATTTTTCGTTACGGCCAGTGGGACACAAAGGAAAATGCGAATAAAGGTGGGAAGGGGGGTGGTAAAAAGAAGCAGACTGACCCACCCAAACCGAATGGTGGCCCCAAGCTGTTTGCTCAATTAGGTATCAGTTTTCCAGCGACAGACGCATTATCCTGCGACGCCTGCAATATCAGTGTCCTTATGGCGATGATGATGCCATGTCCCCCACCAAAGGCATTCCATCATCGTCATCGCTGCGCTGCCACCAGCTCGATATTGATATCCTGGGCGGAAGGACACCGAGAAACGAGCATAACAACACAAGCCCTTGTTGTCAATTCACCTCATCTTTGGACTCCATTGTTTACCTGGTGGGTGCCCTTCGATGTCCACTAATTGCGCTTCGAGTGTCGGCAGGAGCAGCCAATTAATATCCAATTTGTGTAATTGTGCCGCACCCGCTTCACGTTCGAATTTCTGGTGCCAGTGCCCCCCAAAAAAAAAAAAACAAATATAATTCACAAAGCACTTCGCCGACCACTTGAGCGTAAAAAACGCAGCTAAAATATTCATTTCGCGCGCGGTGGCAAACGCTTCTCGATAATGGCAAAGAACTCACTTTCCGACTGATTTTATGACCACCAATTCGACAAAGCTGCAGAGCGAGAAACATGTCCTCGAAATCCTCGAATCAAGTTTCTAAGTTTAGGTTTTTAAAATTAAAATCTGCATTTGTGTTGACAAAATATATTTTAATATTCGTCTAAGAAATTCCATACTTTCTGAATCTTAAAGGGCACTTTCCAGATTTTTTTACTTCGAGGAAAACGCGTCTCAGCCATTATAAAATTAAGATTTGGCTGTCCTTATAAGTATTGCCTTCAAAGCAAATTAGTTTTAAATACATATAAAAAAGGAGTACATTGAAGTTTATTTTATAACATTGTTTAAGATTGTAGGAGAAAAATAGATAATAAGTTTATTTATGGGCTTAATGACATCTACATTTCTATGGGTGTCCTTATAATTAGAAGCTACTTTTAAATATATGTAAAAAAGGAGTTAATTTAAATAATTTGAGGATAAATAATAAGTTTATATATGGCTAAATGACATCTACATCTACATTTCTATGGGTGTCCTTATAAATATGGTCTCTAAAAAGAAGATGTACCATATATAAAAAGGAGTTAATTTTGAGGAAAAATTATAATTTATAACTTGATATATGCGTTTTAAGATTCTTTAAGAAATACAAAATTTCTTAAACTATGGTAAGCTGAAACAAAAGATTTAAATTTTTGTTGAAGCACCCGCATAGCTTAGAAACTCCTTGAGCTGGCATACTTACTTCCCTCAGTGTATATTTTATGCTGATGACCACAAAGTGGGTAGCGTTTTAATCAGGGTGAGCTGGCCGGAGGGGGAGCGAAAAGGGACATTTAAATACCGTTGCCATTATCCCAAGTCGCAGGAGCAAGAGAAACGGTAACAGAAACATCCTCCGGATGGAGGTGGGCGGTGGGCGGTGGGCAGTGGGCGGTGGGCGGTGGACTAAGCCCGGGATGAGAAGTGTGACCTTGCTGGCGTCAATTGCAGTGCAAACAGGCTGCACTTGTTCGCTTTTGCGTTTGACAGGACCTCTGCCTTGGACTCTGGACACTGGTCCTGCTCCTGGCAGCAGAACACCACAATAATAGGGCAACTGGGTCAACCCACTATTTATATACGGCATTGGCCGAATATTGCCCAGGTATGGCTGCCATCGCTTCAGCTTCAATCCCACGGCCAAATCAAGTCAAGTCAAGTCAAGTTTTTAATGTCACTGTTTACGACAGCAGCAGGGAAAAACAATTTACTGCAGGATGGCATGACCAAGTAACCAACTGTCCGGGCCGTAAAACTAGGATTGCCATGTGGATGTGACCGTTCCGTCCTGTCCGCTGTAAAATTAATGAGAATGTCAAATGCGCTCTGCCATTGCTCAAAGTCAAAAGTTTCGATTAAAGATTAAGCTGGCTTCCATATTAAAGCACTCCTGCGCCCCTCACTCCGCTGACATCCCGCGGCTCATCAACAATTCATAGTCCATTTCTCGGCAATGCATGCATTTCCATTTGCATCCGAGGGGGGGAAGGGGGGGCATCCTGATCCCCACCCAAAAGCCAACTGTTGCTGAAATGACCGCCCATCCAAGGTCGCCCTTGCCAGCTACTACAGTATTATTATATGATATTGTAACGCACGACTATCCATAAGAAATAAAATGTATTTTTTTTAAGAATTTCAATCAAACATAAAGTCGTGAGAAAACAAATTTTGTTTATTATAATTGTTATTATATCTAACCGGAAACAAATTAATTCTTAAATAAAGAAATTTTAAAAACCGAACCAACCTGAAAATATTTTAAAAATATTTCGTATGAAAAATCCTTAATCTGTCGTATCTGAAAAGAAAACCCGATATTTTTTTAACTTCTTTGTATTCCAAGTTGCCTGTTTTAGGTACTTAATTTAATTACACAGGTATATAGCCAAAAAAAATCACGAACCATTTGTACTTTTTCATCATAATTGGGTGCTCCTGAGTTAAAGTCCTAAACAAAGATCCTTTAGCTAAGTATATAGCTAAGAATACGAATGCTTGACAACATTGTTAATGATGTAGCCTATTTAAGTGGAGTTTCCTAATTTACCGTATTATAAAAAAATGTTTACCGGATTGAACCATTATAATGTCAAAGTTGAAATTCCTGATTTAACACAATTACTCCAATTTTAAAGTATGTCTAAGAAATATATTTTTCATGGAAACCCCTTTAATTCCTTTTGGAAACTACAGACAAAATTAATTATAACTTATATTTAGGACATTCTTTGGAGTACAGTAATTAGTGTTTAATATTTATTTAATTTCGTTGCACCAGAATTTTCCGCCCGACCCACAAGTGAAATAATTTGCCAAGCTCGAATGATTCGCACACAAGATTCTTGGTATGTGGATGGTTTTTGGCTCAGAGTCTGGGGGGGATTCCTTGCAATTGTTCGGCCTTCGGGCTGATGAGTCCACAAGATGGGGATTTGCGAGCATCCAATCAGCAGTTCCAGCAGAGGGAATCTGCCAGCCGAGTGAGTCAACACCGCCAATTGGCAGTTTATTGTCGGCAAATATGCCAAGATGAATGTTTGCTGAAATAATGTGGGCAACGTGGAACTGGAGCTAGAGCCACCTTTAACCTGTTCGGTGATGGGTTATCGATCAAAAAGTTGATGTGGGTGGCGGCATGCAAATAGACTTAATTGGGTCGGATGCACCCACATGGAGCGCCTTCTTCAAGGACGTTTCCATCTGAGACATAATGAGCTTCCTCGGCGCAATAAGCATAATAATTGTTTGCCTGCGCTCAAACACACAGACTTTGTGCATCTCGGTTATTTTGGTTGGGCATGCAAAAGTGGGTTTTGCGTAATCTGCATAGTAATGACAAAGGGGCGGGGTGGAAAGAGGCGTGGCCGGTGGGTGGTTACCCGAATATCCAACAACTTGAAACTATAAACAGCTCAGGTGTGCGGGCATAAAAGCGGTCAATTGCCATATCTTTATGGGCAAACAGATGCGGTCAAAATAATAGACATGCTAATGAAAATTGGGTAGCCATATTTAATATATGTAAACAATTTTTTTAAATTAGATGGGTATATTTTTTTTTTTACATTTTCAAAACTATTGTTAAGTATGTATGAAAAACAATGTGTTCGACAAATATACATTTTTAAAATATTTTTATCAAGTCAAAAAAGTCTTCGTTCCGTTCATAAAGATTATTTATTAAACTTAAACTAAAGAAAGTTGTAGAATTTATTAAATACCTAAAATGACATCTAATTTAAAATCTATTATTCTATTATATAAATCGTGTTGATCCTTAAAAATGTTGTAAGTTTTTTTTAATATTTATTAAGCTTAATTTAACTTGGTGAAAAGGAAGCTTTTCATTAAAAATAAGTTTTTGGCTAAAAGAAGTTTATATGAAGTTTATATATTGTGATTTTTGATATACTAACAACTATAATCTATATTCTCGACTTAGTA